GAGTAATGAAGAGAGGCCATTTGGAGAATTAATATTTCATACAGCAATATAAAATAACCTTGAGTCACGACTAAACAGCCCAGGGTTGGGAACACAGCTGTAAATATCAGCACAAGACTGACTTTATGGACGGCGTTTGAAATGATTTTTGTAGACATTTGTAAAGGAGACATGCAACTGACAAATACTTAAGAATTGTTGTATCACAATGTATGGAAAGTTCATGTATTGGCGTGTAATTCCCCTCACTGTGGGACGAATAAAGCTTCTTTATTCATCTTATCTTATATCAAAGCTGATGAAAGACTGACTGGTCACTTATGACTAAATAATGTCCCGATAAATGCATGATCAGTACATTTCTTTAGCTTAGTCCTTATCAAGCTGGAGATGGGTCGTCGCTGTGCAGTGCCCAGGGGCCGCTCATCAGGGATCCTGCTCCTGACCCGTTGTCCTAGTGGCATTGCAGGATGTGTTAAATGCAGAAGACAAATTTCCCCAAAGAAGTAAGCCTTAACCCCGTTCCTTAAAGATACAGGGGCCCATTGGTCTGGGCCAAAGGGAGGAGGGTTGACCCGCTTTTTAGCCTGATGATTTCCCTTGGCATTCATATTAGACGCCTAAATCTTTCATTCTGATCCTCTAGGAAGATTTCCAATAGTGTGAGATTCTAGTATTGCCACCAGGAGCCAAAATACTTCTATAGTTCTATCTGGCAAATGCATAGAGCTGTTTCTGCCTCAGGTTGTGCCCCTAAATGCATAGATAAAGTTAGACAAAAAGGCGGAAGTGTCAGTGACAGCGTGGCAGTGTGTATACCTCAGCCTTGTTTGTGATTCCACTGTTGGTTTTCTGGTACAAAGCCGGCGGCCTGATGCCTGGAATACCAATGCACAGCTTCAGTCATTTGTTTAGTGGTTTGGGAAAGCCTCGCTCCCAGCCTCTTTGTAAAGGATGAATTAACTGACATTGTACGCTGCCCATTGAGACGCCCAGAGACAAAATCCTGGTCTCTGCCATTTATTTCCTCCCCTGAAACCTCCCTTCTCCTCCTCCCTCCTCGGCTACAGTCTCAGCACTGTTGACTTGTGAGAATGGAAAAGCAAGTGTGATGCTTTCCTTTGGGGTTATTGCACAAACATGGCATATTAAAAATAACCAGCCACCCCTCACTGTTTAGAAAGCTCTTTTATTGACCTAAAATGTAAGTGTTCGGTTTGTGTCTGCTCCCTACTTGATATGGAAGAATATCTTGAAGACAGGCTTGTATTATCCTCTCCATACACAGATACGGAGAGGACAGACCAAACAAAATATAATATATATTTTTTTTAACTTCTGTTGACAACAGAGGTGTGCAACTGTGTATGGCATTCAAGTTTGGAGGTGAGTGATTCATTTAAATGTTTTTCAAATATCTCTCAATTCAGATAAATATACAAAAAACCAGGACAAAATATAAAGTATAAAAGAAACTTTGATGTTGTTAAACTGGATAAGAGCAATATTTGGGGTTGGTATAAAAACAGTATAATAATATGCTTTATTTTTATCTACTGTTTATCTATCTATTTTTCTTCTTTTCTGTTCCTGCTTGACCCAACAGTGTAATTCATACAAGAACAAGGACAAAAATACATACTGTACATAATACATGTGACTTAATCATAGACACCATCATTGTTTAATATAATGTGGCTGCACAGGTTTCCTCCAGGCGCTCCGATTTCCTATATCAATAAAAACATGTACAATAGCTCCGCTCTCTCTGAGGCGAAGCTCCCCTGTAAAAGAGATTCTGAAATCTCAGTGGGACCTGGTTCAATAAAGTCTGATAAATAAATAAGTCCAATTACAGCGTATATCTCGGCTTAATCAGACATGAAAGCTGTTATGGCTTGGCTCTGAGCCACAACAAGAATAGGGGAGACGAGGCGGAATTAAAGTGCTCAAAAGTATATTTAATTGAGAGAACGGAATAACAAATATTAATATATACAAAAAGGTAAATATGGGGTGTGTTATGTAGAAGTCAGTGGTGTAGGTGCAGGTAATGCTTGTGTGCAGTGAGGGCACCGTATGTGCGATATGAATGTAGGTGCATAAACCAAAAGACAAATTCAATAGTGCATGTTGAAGGAGAGCCAGGGAGGAGATGCAACCGGCACCAGGGCAGGAGTGGAATGGCCCTCAGGAGCGCGCAGAGAACGCGTGCACCTATCCTCCAGGCTATATGCGCGTGCGCTGATTGCGTGCGCGAACACGCCCACTGCTTCAGCGCCAACTGGTCCCCCTGTGCAGACAGGAGACAGGAGCGGCAGGACGGAGACACAGGAAAAGGCCCCGGCCCCCCATAAGGCCTAGCCCGTAACAAAGCTTTTTGTCTATTTTTGGAGTTTGCGCCGGAGAGAGGTTAGGTGAGCCAAGTTTTATTTTTATTTTTTGCCCTACATGTTTTTTGCTTCCAAGAGAAACTTCAGGAGATGTGGAAGTCTGTCAGGCTGTGTGCAGGTCCCGAGGCGCTGTGACCTACTTGTTCCTCTGGCAGGCAACGGCGCAGCAGCAAGTGAGAAAAAAGTAGCTGAGGAATAATGTTGGAGAATGCTGCAGATTGCCGGGAATTTCCGTTTACACCTGGTTAAATATGTAGTGGAATTCTGTGTGTCTAAAACTATTTTTATAACAGATATTTGTATGACTTTATTGCAATCTCTTTGCTGGATTAATAACAATTAAAAAATAATAATATCAGCATGTTAAAAGTAGAAAATATGTAATACTTTAAGTTATGCCATATGCCAATTGGTATCATGTTTATGATTATGGCTTGTAGTTGTCAAAATATTACAATTTTGGGTTTTTAGTAAGTAAGTAATGTTTATATATATAGCGCATTTTACAGACCAAGGTCACGCGTCATGCTTCACGCTGTTCAGAAATCAGATATTATCCATTTAAAGTGATGGAAACACAGAAAACACTGGCGCATCAAAGCCCCATTCATCACCATCCTTTCACTCACTCATTACATTAACACCTATTGCACATGTTGTTTGTGGTAGGGGAAACCGGAGCACCCGGAGCAAACCTATGCAGGCACGGGGAGAACATTCAAACTCCACTCAGAAAGGCCCTGTTCTAAGACCTTTGTGCCACCGTGCCGCCCAGCTTGCAAGTTGTGAGCCTATGATCCACATATCAACAAATGCATGTGAGTCATATTAGTTTCACTTTGGAAGTTCAAATAGAGAAGCAAATGGACTTTGGGAAGAGCACTGAGGTCCTCTGACCAGCTTCTTCTGCACTGTCCCAGGTCTAGATTAAAAACCAGAGGAGACCGAGCCTTTGCTGTGGCAGGGCCTAAACTCTGGAACGCTCTCCCTTACTGGATCAGAGCTGCCTCCTCTGTAGAAAGTTTTAAATCGCAGGACTGAAGAAAAGCACTTGCATATAATACATTATCTATGTATCTGTCGTTGTTGCTGTTAGTTGTACTGTCTGTCTTGTCTTTTGTTTCACATTTATAATAATAATAATAATAATAATAATAATAAACTGCATAGTCTAATAGACAACTGGACAAAGTGGATTTAGCTTCCATGTTATTTTTAAGCCATTTATCTTCTTTTTCTTGTAGCCTCAATTACTGCAGCACACGACGCGTGGCAACAATCCTTTATTTGGTAAAGGTTACGCTGGGAAAAGTGAACTACACTGAAGCAAAGCATTTTTCTAAATGTCACAGCTTTCAAAAAGAGAGAACGTGTCTCATAATGGTTCCCCATCTGCCCAAGTTCAGAACCTCTCCTAGTGTTCCCTATCTGCCCAAGTTCAGAACCCTCTCCTAGTGTTCCCCATCTGCCCAAGTCCAGAACCTTTCCTAGTGTTCCCTATCTGCCCAAGTCCAGAACCCTCTCCTAGTGTTCCCCATCTGCCCAAGTCCAGAACCCTCTCCTAGTGTTCCCCATCTGCCCAAGTCCAGAACCTCTCCTAGTGTTCCCCATCTGCCCAAGTCCAGAACCCTCTCCTAGTGTTCCCCATCTGCCCAAGTCCAGAACCCTCTCCTAGTGTTCCCCATCTGCCCAAGTCCAGAACCCTCTCCTAGTGTTCCCCATCTGCCCAAGTCCAGAACCCTCTCCTAGTGTTCCCCATCTGCTGACTCCAGAACCTCTCCTAGTGTTCCCCATCTGCCCAAGTCCAGAACCCTCTCCTAGTGTTCCCCATCTGCCCAAGTCCAGAACCCTCTCCTAGTGTTCCCCATCTGCCCAAGTCCAGAACCCTCTCCTAGTGTTCCCCATCTGCTGACTCCAGAACCTCTCCTAGTGATCCCCATCTGCCCAAGTCCAGAACCCTCTCCTAGTGTTCCCCATCTGCTGACTCCAGAACCTCTCCTAGTGTTCCCCATCTGCTGACTCCAGAACCTCTCCTAGTGTTCCCCATCTGCCCAAGTCCAGAACCCTCTCCTAGTGTTCCCCATCTGCCCAAGTCCAGAACCCTCTCCTAGTGTTCCCCATCTGCCCAAGTCCAGAACCCTCTCCTAGTGTTCCCCATCTGCTGACTCCAGAACCTCTCCTAGTGTTCCCCATCTGCCCAAGTCCAGAACCCTCTCCAAGTGTTCCCCCTCAGCATTAAAGCTGTACCTAAAATTTAAGACCACAAATTTGGTTTAAGACCAGATAAAACACTCAAATGGTCCAAGGGGAGTGGCTTTATTAAAAACAACGATATACAGCAGGTTAAAGGTTTACACAATATAATAAAGTATAAAATGTCTTTCCCTCCATGAGTGCGCTTTGGACGGAGACGGCAGGAAGCTAAATGCTGCTGTTTGATTTAAAACAAGAAGACGTTTTCTGATGAGGACATTGTTAAGGGGGCTCTGATGATCTGATGATTATTGTGGAGACTGTTTTTAAAGATGATAAAAATGGGTCTGAGGTCATCTCAGGTGTAGCTGATGTACAACTTGGGGAAAGTGCAGTGAACAGAAGGGGTAAGCTATGTTCGAAAACTTGTTTGAGCAACTGGACAAAGAGCACATGCCGGTGGTTCAGCATCCGGCGTGATGACTCTGTGGACAGCAGCAGTGCAGTTAAACCACTGGGTTTAATCAGATGGTATTTGATGATTTCTGCACTAAAGAAGAGCTCCTCGCGCTTATCCCGCTGAGGACGTCAACACAGGTAGTCGACATCTACGTCTTAAAAATGACTTCATGGAGAAAAAAGTGTCGCTGGAGAAGCTTGTTTTCAAGAAGGATCCAGACTTCCCACCTTTCCTACACTACCATTGTGTCATTCATCAGCGATATGTGCGAAAGTGACCGGGTGCGACCATGTAATGAAAGCCGTTAGAAAAATCATCAACAGCATTCGTGCCAAAGCCAAGCAACACCGGACATCTAAGGGAGTTATGAAGAAGCTGTCTGCAGAATACAGAGACTTGTTGATGCATACAGAAATCCGATGGCTCAGCAGAGGGTGGATTTTGAAACGTTTCCTTTCTAATATGAACTTAAAATAAAAATAAACCCCGAACACGCCCAACTGATTCACATCTGCAGGAGTCACTGACAGCGGCAGAGTCAAACTAAACACCAGATTACAGCAAACCCGAGGACAATGTGGAATGCCAGGTTTCTCACTGAAGTGTTTTTGTAAAGCAGCATTTTACCAAATGTTCAACTTTCAAATCTGTCAAATCAACCTCATTTTCTGGTGGGAAAAAAATTTAATGTGAAATGTTCATTTGCACAAAATAAATGTCACTTTGAAAATGTATTCATAACAACAGTTAGAAAGATTAATATGTTTATATTATATTTTGAGCTGGTAGCCCTCGAGCAATTTCATAATCTTAAGGTAGTTCTTGGCTTTAAAAAGGTTGGGGACCCCTGAGTGTGATGTCGTGCTCTCGAGTGTGATGTCATAATGCAGATTGTGATGTCATGTTCTAAAGTGTGATGCCATGGTCAAATTCATGAATTACGACAATATTTATGCAGTGAAACATTTCCTTTTTTGAAATCAGGGGATCTTGATCTCATTTTACCTGGAGGCGTCTAGATGACAAATCTGCATTTCAACCGAAATGGGCCGAGTAGAAAAAACAAAATACTTGGATTGAATCAAAGCTGGACTAAAGGCCAGGGAGGGTTGGAGTTGTAGACCACGGTCCAGACTGCTCCTGCTCGGTCTGATAGAAAACTTGCAGCCACAGCAAACCTTGAGGACAGGTTTGGACACCCCTGCTGTAGAATATGCTGGCCCAGAGAATGTTTATGAATAATGTTTCATAAAATAAAGTTGAGTTCAAATGAAAATAAATTATCAAATCAGTCATTTTTCCACTCAAAAGGCAAAACCCTTTGAATATGACCCGTCCAGAACATTGTAACATAATCCAACAACACTGTGAAGATGCTCATCTGCTGCTCTCAAAAGCAGGAGGCTGGAGCGAGGAGAGATAGCACACAGTGAGGAAGAGGAGGAGGAGGAGGAGGAGGAGGAGGAGGAGGAGGAGGGCAGCGTAGCAAATAATCTGCGCTCTCTTCTCTCTTCTCTCTTCTCTCCCAGAATCCTCCAGCAGCAGCGCATCGCCTCCACATCTCCAAACACACGTCTTTCTCTCAGGAACAGTGTGATGGATCCAGAATGTGAGGGCTCCGGTCGAGGAGAGAGGACCACACGCTTCTGTGATTAAGGTAAAAATAATATACTTTGTGTTTTGTCTCTGTTTCTGAGGAAGGGGAAAGGACGAGAGAAAAGTTAGAAAACGCAAATGTCATACAGAGAATTGTAGAATTGGTAAAACTGACCGCTGAAAAGCATTTGGATCTCGTCAATATCTCCTGCTGCTACAAACTGTTACTCCCCAGTTCAGCTGGAGTGAGGAGGAAACCACAACCAAGTCATTTAATAACAGGAATGTAGATGATAACTTCACATAAACGGGTAAAATACAAAAGGACAAAACAAGGAAAAGATCTAAACTTGACTACACAGAAACTAATCTCTACTTCATCTGTGGTGTCAACAAAAGTGTCACAAAAACAAAACCCAAAGTGACAATTAAAATTAGACAGATGAAAAAACACCTCAGTAACATCACAGATAATCACAACAGAATCTCATTGACACAAAGCAGATCATGTTCAGTTTTCTTTGATTCAGTTCCTTCATTTCTTTATTGATTTTTGGTCAGTTTGAGGAGTTCTCTTTGATCCGACAGAAATGTCTTGGGCCGAGGTTTGGTTCTGATTTGTGTATTGTTTGTTTGAATAGGACATGGTGTTGTGAATAGACTGGATTAGCCTCGGACTAATTTACATTTGTTGTTCTAAAGTTGTGATAAAAACACACCCTGAATTTTGTACATGTTTTTCGTAGTAAAGGTAACCGGTGCACACGGAGGAAACCTACATAGACACACATAGAGCATGCAAACTCCACACAGAAACCCCCCACCTGGACCAGGAAGCAGGGGCTCTAGCGCTTTGTAAAGGGTCTCCTCCTGACACTTGAAGTATTTTGAGTACAATGTTTTCTGAGATCAAATGAACAGATGAAAGAAGGATTAATGTTCTTCAGATTTGGAATGGATTTACTGCTGTTCCTTTCAGGGATCATACTCAACCATCTCCCTTGATTTTAATAATGACAATAATAATAGAAGAAACAGGACAATGGTAGTGTTTTGTGCTGGTTTTAGCTGACTTGAAAGCCTTTCCACATGGAGAGAATGCTGGATCTGCAGATCAATACAGGAGTGAGTGGAGCAGCAGTTTTAGTGACGATGAGGAGGCAGTGAGCGCCGCTCTTTCAAAGGACACAGAATCTGTCGACCGGTCTTTCACTAAGATCACAACCATAAGAGAATATCCCTCAAGTATAATCTCTACAAATCTCAATAGAGAAATATATGTTTACATCCGTGTATGAATGAAGGTTAATTGAAAGTTTAAAGATGACGTTGAAGGCTCTGCTGCTGCAGCCGCATCAGCCGCTCCTCTCCGCAGTCCGCACTGTAAAACAGTTATTCTTATCAGGACTCATTGTGTTCAGATCAAATAAAACATCTAATCGTGTTGTTGCAGTCAGTCTGCGGCTCGCAGTAAATCACTTTGCACAGAACACGTCTAAAACTGCAGTGTTGAAGTCACTAACTGTGAACTGCTCTCAGCAACTCTCTCTTTGGGGTTTCATGCGAGGAACCGACAATCGACCAACTGAGTCCTGATGACTCTGTGAAGTGCTGCAGAACAGGATTGGTGATGTTGAATTCAAATATATGCTAATTTATTCAGATTAAGGTGTTGCAGTAAAAGTAGACATGATTCTGACACATTTTTTAGGCGACAGTAGCTCAGTTGGTAGAGCATTGGGCTTTGAGCAAGAAGGTTGTGGGTTTAGGTTAGACTTTCTCCACCGACTCCCACTGCTGTCGTTGTGTCCTTGGCACTTGACACTTAACACCAGGTGCCACAGTGGGGCGGCTGCAGCTGTAAAGTGCCACACTTTACAAACTGCCATTGTGTCCTTAGGCAAGACACTTCACCCCCATTGCCTAGAATAAGTCTGGTGTGTGTGAATGGTTGACACAGACTGGTTGCCTCGTCAGTGTGCCCCAGGGCAGCTGTGGCTACAGTAGTAGTTTATCACCACCGTGTATGGAGTGAAAGAATAATGACATGTGAGGGGTCTTTGAGTGTCCAAAAAAGCCCTATTTAAAACCAGTGCATTATTATTATTATTATTATTATTATTTTAATCAAAATGGTTCTGTTCTTGAATCTTATTGATTATGTGCATCAACAATAATTATATTCCAGCTGTCTTCATGAAAGCTGTTACTTCAAAGGCTGAAGTTCGTCTAATCTAAGAGATACAACATCTGCATAAAGCAGGAACATGTTTGTGGTTTTGAACACAGCAGTTGGATGAAGCTCATTGTTCAGTCAGCGGACTTTAATAATGTCATGAAAATGCAATGTTCTGAAAAACACAATTATTACTTTGATTAGCATCACCACATTAGTCCAAAGATAAAACAGTTTTACCACAAGAGGAAAGTCAGGTAATGGTAATCATTCAGAAGGACAGGCCCAACAGCAGCATCTTTCACTGTTTTATGTTTCTGAAAATGTAGACATTAAACTGTACTTACATTTGAGCGGTGAAGGGGATGTGATGTCCTGTTCTCTACTATTTAGAGTAGAGTTCACACTCTACTCTAAATATTCATGAATCAATATTTGTACAGTGAATATGATATGTTATGTTTTCCATGTATCCAAACACCTCCTCTGTCCATTAGAAGTTTCTAGAACATAACTGTTTTAAACATTAGTCAAGTTTTCTAAAGTGTCTGTTTCTTTTATGTAACGTTGATGATTTGACGGAATGAGCTTTGCAAAAGTTTGTTACATATTTTCAGATGTCCACATTTGATGAAGAGATTCTTTTTTGTATACACAGAGTAGAAACAAAGTGATACTTTCCTATAGTGAAACAATTAAATGTTAAACCAGACCTTTTTTTTTTCTCAAGTTTGAATTTTAAAAATTAAAGAAAAATTAAACCATCACGTCCGTTATACATTTTTCGAGGGTCATTTAAATTTGTATAGATTTTTTTTTTTTTTTTTTTTATGATTTCTTTTTAAATCAAGAGATTTACTGATGTAGTGTTGACCTTGTTAATCATGTGGTCGTTCATGTGTTCATGGTCACGTATGACCTTTTACTTTCTACGTCAGAGTAGAATGGTCCAATCAGAGGCTGATTTAGTCGTTTAAAATGTCGCCAAAAATCTTTTCGTCTATCTTTCCTTTTGATTTTATCCACACTATCTCTTCAATGTGTCTGTGTTTGAAATCTTTTGTCCAATCTATGAGAGTCATTTTAGTTTTTGTTTGTTTTGTTCTAACCTTTTAAAGTCCAGATACTTGAATTGACACTTAACTGTTAACCACTCAGATACAAGTTCTTTATTTATAAACTGCTCCTGGATTGGTGTAAAATCTGAGCAGAAAGGATCTCACACGCACCAAAATCTTAAAATTAGATAAACATAAACACTTTTTATTCACAGACGGGTTGAAAATGAATTAGCTGTGAGGTGTTATTCATATCACGTTTATACAACTACACTGGAAGTAGCATTCACAGACAGTCACGGCAGAACAGGGCGTTGATTGCAGCACACTAGGAAAGTTTACGATGCTCTACGCCTCCCTGATGCCAACGTCAGCGTGCATTATGAGGAAGGATTTGCATGTTACACACCTACACATCTTAAGAGTTTCAGCGGGGTGTCATTGGGAGCCATCTGTCATCGGCAGATGGAAGACACTTCAAATTGGCCGAGTGAGAATTAAACATACTCCAAAAATGTCACATAGATATTCACATAGGCCAGGGTTCTCGGGTTCTCGGGTTCTACGGTTCTAGGGTTCTCGGGTTCTAGGGTTCTCGGGTTCAGGCTGTGGTAGCCTTTATTATTGAACACATATACACTGCAAAAGGTCGTGAAAAATAAGATGAAAAATTACTCAAATTTGGCAAAAATGTATCTTAATTTGAGCACATTTATACATAAATCTTATAACAAGATTTGCCAATTATCTTGTTTTAAACAGGTACAATATATCTCTCCCAAGGAAAGAGGAGAATAATGCAACAGTTCTTGAAATAAGTCTAAATGGCTTTTGTCCAATTGGAAAAACTTGTTTTAAGACGTCAGAATGTACTCAAATTAAGATAAAAACTACTTCATTCAAGAATTTTTACCTCATGTTGGATAATTTTTTGCAGTGTAGCATTAAAGGGTTTGGAATTCTTAGAGATCATAGAGATTTGTTGTACGGGAAGAAATTAAATGATTACGAACCATTTTTATAATCACACAGTAATCTCAGCTTCATTGTTGTTGGGTCAAATAAAGTGCTATCTCAGTTTTAACAAATTTCCATGTTTTTGAAGTAAAAGAGAAATGATGAATAATATTTAAATCATAATAAAATACATTTTCAGTCTTGTGTAGATTCTACGTAAAGAGACTTATTGCTTGTGCGTGCCGTAGTCTTTCTGTTCAGCACTTTGGGGCTGTGTCGACTGTTTTATACAAGTTCTTTATTAAACTTTGACAAACTGCTCCTGGATTGGAGTAAAATCAAAAAAAGAAATTATTTCACTCACAAAAACAATCTCAAAATTGCATAAACATAAGCGCATTTTATTTACAGACGGGTTGAAAATGAACTAGCTGTGAAGTGTAGCCTTAGCCTGGCTCCAGTTCAATTATTGATTGATGGATTTTGTGGGATATTTTTGCCCCAAAATATTTTTTTTACGCCCAGTTTTTTATTGTAATTTTGTTAATGGTTGTAGCCTTGGAATACTGACCTTCACTTTTCATGTATATTTGGCTTCACTTCACTTAGAACTGTTTTCTGGATCGTGCCGTATCTATAGATCAAGGACAGACAAGCCACAAAAGAAGGCTTCAAAATGCATGGTGCCAATCCTTCGCCCATCTTGATCAGCTGCCTCAGATCTCATTATAACTTCCCACTGTCTGACAGCGTCGCAGCCTGGAGCTCCACAGACACTGCTCTCCTTTCACATGTTTTGGAACCATTGCTAAACGGACAAAAAAATCTCTGTACGGACTCCAGCGGCCTGTGCAACTGTTTACCACTACATATACAGAGGAGCCCATATCCCCGGCTTGTGTGTGACCAGTTTGATTATGCGATTTATTCCATTGTCCCGAGTCCTGCGGGTAGTGGCTGCCCCTCCGCCTCAGCTCCTCGCCACGAGAAGCTTTGACAATCCCACCCTTTGTTTTTGCAATGAGACGCAGCATTCTTTCAGCGCGATGACCTCCTCTGTCTGTGCAGGGGCTGGCACCGGGGATGCGACCCCGTTTCCATTGGACAGCACCCAATGCGACCCAGAGGGGATTGGGACCAGGCAGTTGTCACCCCGATTCTACATGGAACCTTCCTATAACGTATGGCGTGCATTGGATTTGTAAGGGCTGCTGAGTTGGGCCGGAGACTTCTTCTTTAACAGAGGTGGGTGTGATACATTCTCTATCTATTTTGTATTATTCTTATTACATTTTTTATAATTTTTAAACCGTAACATTCAATTTTCTTTATTTTTTCTCACGAGGATTCACACTTCTTTTCAATAGTGTGGCGGATTTCTTAATATCATCACCTAGAATCGACCAAAATCATTTAAAATCTATTTAAGAGTTTCCAAAGTTCTGCACAAAAAAATCAAAACCATAATAATAAAAAATGATGTGCAGTCAAACCATAGCAAAGTGATATATGCAAAAAAACAAAAAAATTAAAGCAGTACAATTAAAAAAAGGCAAAAACAAACTTTAGATTAACATACAGATAATAAAAGACAAACGCTAGTCTTTCGGTTTCCCGTCTTTTTTCCGGCTAATATCGATAACTGCATCTATACAGTTTGTTTTGAAGGACTTTTCCAGGTACCAAATACTAGCTGCTTTGGATTTGCTGCAGTTGTGAAGCAGAGGAAGACAGGCAGGAGCAGAGGAAGTCAAGTGCGAAAGAGTTTTATCCCTAAACCCCAGAGCACCTGTAATTTATTCAAGACCTCGCTCAACCTTTCCGTCTAATCCTGCGATTCTTACAGTGAGTGTTGGAGCGGAGACATGACAGGTGTGTGTGGATGTGGACACAGGAGATGTTTAGAGCCAGCGTGTGTATCGTCAGCGACAGTGAGCCTGGACAGACATAAGTCCAAATATCAATAAAAGGTTTAGCTTATAACACCATTGTAATTATAATGCAAAAATACCAGTTTTCCCATGGATGGTGTTGTATTGTGTGTAATCTTCCACATCCTCTAACAGCATGATGTTGAACTCATATAACGTGCCTATTTTTATTTGCACTGATCAACCACTCACCCGTTTGTCCCCTCTGAAAACTGTATCATTCTCAAAGTGGAGATATGTATGTTTAATACAAATTAAATGTTGGCGGCAGTAGCTCAGTTGGTAGAGCGTTGGCCTTTGAGCCAGAAGGTCGTGGGTTCAAGCCCCGCTCAAGACTTTCACCATCGACTCCCACTGACTACTGTCGTTGTGTCCTTGGCAAGACACTTAACCTCTGGTAACACCAGCCACAGTGGGGCGGCTGCGGCTGTAAAGTGCCAAACCGCCGTTGTGTCCTTAGGCAAGACACTTCACCCCCATTGCCTAGAATGAGTCTGGTGTGTGTGTGAATGGTTGGTGGTGGTCGGAGGGGCCGATGGCACATACTGGTTGCCTCGCTTCTGTCAGTGTGCCCCAGGGCAGCTGTGGCTACATTAGTAGTTTATCACCACCATGTATGGAGTGAATGAATAATGACACATGTGAAGCGTCTTTGAGTGTCCAAAAAAGCGCTATATAAAACCGATGCATTATTATTATTAAGAACCTCTCGAAACGTTCAACTTAGGAAGGAGTTCATTGTCTAAAAATAATGAATAAGAAGATTCAGAGCAACACAAACACGTAAACAACTGTGAGATTTCATAACACTTTGAAGCAACTTTTGTTAAAGTTAAACTCATCATTCTATCAATGTGCAGAAGCCAGTACTTTTCCCTTGTTTTGTCTATCTGAAGGCCAAGCTACAAGCACACCGTGGAAGCTGCTGATTGGAGGTCTCCATGCCTCCGCTCTGTATAATACACTTGCATTCTCTTGTATCTGTTATCGTGTGTTTTGTTCGTGCTGTCTCTACCATCGACAATAAAACATGTCTTCTGTCTGAATTTAAGACGCGATCCCAGACTATGTCATCTTCTTCACAACCAGTAGTGACCCAGCAGCTGTTCTAACTTTCTGGGTTGTCACAGCTCGCCTCCGTGGACCATGCAATGGTTAGACCTGTTTGAGCTCTGTATTGCTTCCATGTGTGACAGTCATTGCTGGTGGTGGAGGGGCGATAGTTCAGATTGGCAGCCTCACTTCTGTCAGTCTCTCCCTGGGCAGCTGTGGCTAAACAATAGCTTACCACCATGTACAGAGCAAATGAAAAATGTCTCGTGAAGCGTCTTTGAGTGTCCAGCACATAATCCATATATTAATAATATTAATATGACATTTTCTGACATTGATTGTGAGACAGCGGCCCAGGCCGAGCTGTGTTGATCCATGTGGACAGCCAACCAAGGCTTTTCTGTGTGGCTTTTGTTTTTGTTGTTTTCCCTGTGTCTGTGTCGGTTTCCTCCGGGTGCTCCGGTTTCCTCAAACACTAAAAGCACTACATGTAATGGAGTGTGTATTTGTGAAAGCACAGATATTTCAGTTTAAAAGTAAATAGTCAAAGTAAAAAGTTCTGAAAAAGCACTGATATCAGGAAAAAATACTCAAGTGCAGTACTCAAGCAAAAATACTTGCGGTGGCAAGTATTTACCCAAGGACACACGTCTTGATCATGACAGGCCAGAGCTGCACTGAGCTGTCAGCTTTTATCTTTGAGTCTGTACGTGAAGCTTTAGGCTCTCGTCTGAGGTGACATTGTTTCAAAGTGAGTTTCTGCAAACGTTATTTTGCTGTCAAAACATCAGATAAATATTTTCTTTTAGAAACCGTTAATTAGCCTGTCAGTGTAACAGGCCTCAGAAACACATTATTTTACCCCGACAATGTGGTACCGTCGAGGAATCAGAGACGTTTTTAAATATGAGTCTAACTACATTTTCAGCCATATAAAATGTGCATATTTGCTAAAGTTGGATTAGAAAAGCAAATACAGTAATCCAGTGTATTTCCTGCATCTACTCCGTAAAGCACACTGCCCCATCCAAAATAAATAAACAAGTAAATGACAAAGAGGCAAGACTCTAAATAATTTTAAGTGGTTTGCAGGTCATATGTGAATAGATAAAATGTTGCTGATGTGAACTGAGACTGTGTGACACAATGACATCAGTGGGAGCAGGTCTCGTGGGGGATTGAACCTCGGCCTGACAACATTCCAACATGGCTGCCATATAGAATAATTGCCCACCCAGTCCGATGGTCAACCGTGTGTTTTTAATTTGGCTTCATGAGTTTGTTGGGGAGGTGTTCCGGGCACGTCCCACCGGGAGGAGGCCCTGAGGAAGACCCAGGACACGCTGGAGGGACTATGTCGCTCAGCTAGGGAAGTCTGGACATCTCTGCTGCTGCTCCCGCAACCCGGCAACGGATGAAGTGGAAGAAAATGGAATGGAATGGAGTTTGTCCTTTAAAAAGTTTCACTGTCCAGAATGTTCACAGTTATGCGCATTAATGAAAATCTACCATATTAACATTTATGTTAATATGGTAGATTTGTGTTATTTGGTAGATATGTTAACATTAATGATATTTGGTGTTTCCAAACCTCCTTCAAAATCAGGAGGAAACACATGATTTTTTTTTCTTTTCTGGTTCTTTGTGGCAGTAACATATGATCAGCAGGATTAGTGTTTTGTGTCCCCAGAATGAGGGGAATAAAGTGTGACTGTTGAAGAAAAGTAATTTTCTAATACTGTTTTAATCGGTACTACAACGAGCATGGCCACGCCCCAACCTCACCTTCTTGTCCAGTCTCCAATCCCCAAAGCGGTTGTTATGGTGATGTTGGTGAATTCTTGTTTTGTTGCTGCAAGAAAATTCAATAAAAAAGTTTAACAGTCAGATTATACCCTGGAAGGTCAGATGATGGATAAAACTATTCCAATCCTCTCTCATTGTGTAACTCCCTGAAATCCAATCCTTATTATTTCTACCAGTGGACAATAAGAGACAATATAATACAATTACACCTTTAAGTTGTCCGTCTATATATAAATAAGTCATTCATTAGTCGAGCTGTTTCCTCTTCTCTCTGCAACACTTTATTGTTACATGAGAGAATGCTTTGTTCAGCAAGAGTTTGGTCAGAATATTACACTTGGATTTCCAATCTCTTGTTTTACTCTTGATATTCTGGTGCAGTGTTCAGGTGACACTCGCAGCAATAGAATATCATTCACAAGTGAATTTATTTCTGTAATTGAACTTAGAATATGAAACCAGTATATGACACAGACTCACGACATTCAAAGTGACATATGCAAAGCCTTTGTTTTCATCAACATTTTAACAAAAGGAAAATTTGATTGTATAGCACAGTCCATACTCAGAGCAACTCAAAGTGCTCAACAAAAAAAAAGCACAGTTATATAAATAATCACACAAAATTTAAAAGATTAAATTATAAGTACAGCAAAACAGAGCTGTTTTTAACCTGGATTTGAACATTGTCAGAGCAGAAGCCTGTCTCACATTTTCAGGAAGACTATTCCATATTAGAACTGCATAAATCTGAAATGCTGTCTCCCCATGTTTAGACCTGAATCTGGCACCAGCAGGGGGACAGTCCCTGTGCTCGTCAGAGTCAGAGTTGGTTCATATGGGACTAACATGTCACAGATGTATTTTGGTTTGAGGCCATGCAGAGACTTGTAACAAACAGAGCTGTTTTAAAGTCTATTCTCTGAGCCACAGGAAGCCAGTGCAGAGACCTGAGAACCCGACTAATGTGGTCGCACTTCCTGGTTCTAGTCAGGACTCGAGCTGCAGAGTTTTTAATGTACTGCAGCTGTATTGAAAAGTACATACAAAATAAAATAGTTAGGAGACATCTCCCTGTGCGTGTAATGATAGAAGTTTCACATTGTAAGTTATTACAAAAGTAAGTGAAGTTTTGAACAATATTACAAAAAGTTTCTACACTACATTGGAGGTGATATTTGATGTGTATCTTATATTGTGGACCATTTTTCTTATTTAACTTCATAACAACAGCAGAAGAGCACCAAAGCCACGTTCAATCTTGCGGTTGAATCTCCTGATTGTTGATTCCAGCGTTCCTGGAGTCTGGCCCGGGGGCTTTTTAATCAAAGACGAATGATGAAAATACTCTGCAAAGGTGTGAAGTATAAGGATTGTGCGATGCCAAAATGTGAATCCTTATTAGTGTGGTTCCACAGTATACAGTAAATATCACAGATGAAGCCTTGTGGATTCAGATATGTTCTTTATGTGTCCCACAGACGTCACAGAGCAGCCTCATGGGGGGCCAAGAAGCATTCAGGATCATGTGACGGAAACAAAGGTAAACGCTAAATACAGTCCATCTTTACTATTATGTTTTAGAAGAGTTCTCTTTCCTTTCCCATGTCTCTAAATCAAACATATATGTACAGTATGGGCTGGTTTCGGTTTAAATTTAGGTTGGACTCATTCATTGATGGATTTCAAGCTCACTATTCATTAAACATTGGTCTCAGGGACGGGCGATATTGACAAAAATGATTATACTGCTTACTTAATTGATGGAGCGATTCATGCGATTAACATAACAAGAGTGAGGAAAGATATTATTTACTATTTGTGTAGCCTGAAGCACAGACCGATAACCAGGTTTATATTTTTCAAATGTCCTAGGTTGTCTTGTATTTTTCCAGGTAAATACTTGCAGGGTCCACTGTTTTTCACAAGAGTGGCTTGCCCGGTCAACCAAAATGAACCGTATTTTTACGTATTTTTCTAACATTTACAAGGGACCAGGCCAACACTTTCCAGCTCTGGTCCAGTCGATCTGCGATAAATGATATGTTCCGTCTTTGGGTTCTCCTTTCACAATAACACATGAACCTGTTCATCAGACCTGCAATAGTGCTCTAGAACAACAAAAGCTTCATCATTCTTTCAAATATTGTGTCCAAGATTTTTATGGTGTTGAGTAGGTTTTCAGAAATTTAGACCCAGTGTGGGAATAACACAGTGAGACTTCAAGAAGTTAACGTTTAATATATTTGCATCGAAGTATCCTTCCTTTGTACCTTATGCAGAGCATGCTGTAAGTGCAGAATTGTGTGCCCTGCAGGTAGAGCCGTGACAGAGGGCTGCCTCTGAGATGCCGAAGAGACGAGATATTGTGGCCGTTGTGTTGATTGTGTTGCCGTGGACACTGCTCATCACAGTTTGGCACCAGAACGCCGTCACTCCACTGCTCTCAACTCGCAAGAGTAATCAACCGAGCCTGTTTCTGCATGAATACTAATATAAGTGTAAAGAGCCTGTTGACAAGAGCAAAGCCTCAGGCGACACGTCACATGTTGAGAAAACGCACACATTTCAGCAGATGACAAAACCATTTAATCACATACTTTCACCACTGTCACTAGTTTACTGTTTAACTATGTGGATAAAGGTGCATTATGTGACTCTTCAGATGGAGAATCTGGTCATAGTAACAAAATATTGGACGTATTTGTCCGAATGACCGATCTGTGACCAACCAGTCATTCATGTGCACACCAGACTCATACTAGGCAATTTGGGTGAAGTGTCTTGCCCAAGGACACAGTGTCAGTTTGGCACTTTACAGCCGCCCCTCTGCACCTGGTGTTCCCAGATGTCTCCCATCACAGATCTGACCAGGCCATGTCCTGCTTAGCATCAGAGATCTGACAGGATCAGACTTTCACCTGCAGGGGGTGCCACTTGTCGAGGTGAATAGTGCACAGGTACCATGGTAGTGTTTCAAACTATCTCATTCTGACCAATATGTTTGTCAATAAACAATTAGATGTAGTAGTTTTTTATTTTTTGCTATTTCCAGGGACATACCAAACAAAAACCGTAAGAATGTAATGTTTGGAACCCTCCTGCTCTAAACGGCACAGTGAACCTTTAGACACGACTAACCCCTCTTTAAGTGACATGTTTGGTTTACAGATAACAGACTCAGTGGCCGCTCCAGGAACAGCTTCATCTATAAGGAGTGCTCCTCTCACGGCCGGGGCATCGTGGAGGTGGTGCGTACTGAGTATGTGTACTCTCGCCCCCCTCCCTGGTCTGATGGCCTCCCCACACTCCACGTGGTCACCCCCACCTACAGCCGCCCTGTGCAGAAGGCTGAGCTGACCCGCCTGGCCAACACTCTGCTGCACGTCCCCAACCTGCACTGGATCCTGGTGGAGGACACCCCAAAGAGAAGCAAACTGGTCAGCCACTTTCTGCAGGAAACAGGTCTGAACTACACACATCTGAATGTGGAGACGCCTCGAAACTACAAGGTTCGAGGCGAAACAAGGGACCCACGCATTCCCCGTGGAACCATCCAGAGGAACCTGGCCCTGCGGTGGCTCCGTGACACTTTAAACAGCAGCAGCAGCAGCAGCAGCCAGCTAGGGGTAGTCTACTTTGCAGATGACGACAACACGTACAGCCTGGAGCTCTTTGAAGAGGTTAGACATAGAACAAGCCGCAAAGAAGCAGCATATATCACAATAGCACCCAGTATTATCACAGAAAATACATGCTACAGGAATTGCAAAAACAACTTGTGGTGGAAATATCATGTACATTCATTATCATGATAAAAAATGCGGGTTCAGTTGGTTTGATGAAATGCTGTTCTTGCCTGCCGCCTGAAAGCTTCTGTCTGTGTCCTCAGATGCGCTCCACTCAGAAGGTGTCGGTCTGGCCTGTCGCCTTTGTGGGGGGTCTTCGTTACGAGTCACCAAAAGTGAACAATCTGGGAAAAGTGTTTGGCTGGAAGACTGTGTTTGACCCTCACCGACCCTTTGCCATCGACATGGCAGGTTTCGCAATAAACCTGCGGCTCATTTTGTCCAAACCTCAGGCCTATTTCAAACTGCGAGGAGTGAAGGGAGGATATCAGGAGAGCAGCTTATTAAAGGAGCTGGTTACTTTGGGCGACTTAGAGCCTAAAGCTGCCAACTGCACTAAGGTAACAAAATGTTTCATTATGGTTTGTCAACTGCAAACACGGCGTCTACATTTGTAGATGTAATTTTGTACCTGTAAATCCGGATTTTTAAATAAATATACTGTCCATGCCCTGCAGATATTAGTATGGCACACTCGGACAGAGAGGCCAGTGCTGGTGAACGAGGGCAAGAAAGGATTTACTGATGTGAACGTGGAGATATGACATCTGACACAGGTGCGTGCGGACAAATGTTTATTTAGGCCTGACCTCAAAGTTACAATTACAGGTACCTGAAAGAGTATCCCCCACACACGTATCCACTTGTTTCCACTTTTCTTAGAAGACCACAAATCACACATTTCATGATAAAATAAAATAAAAAACTTACTTTGTGTGAACCAGTTGGGGAAATAAAATGTATTTAATTAAGTATTAATAAAGATGTGACACAATATTTAATGACTATTGTAAAACTAACACAAACATAGTGGTGGCAGCATCATGCTGTGTAGCTGCTTTTTCTTCTGCAGGAACAAGGAATATTGATGTATGAAAGATGGAGCCAAATAAAGGGCATTTTTGTAAGAATTTTGGAGTCTGTAAAAAATTGGGGCTGGAGCAGAGAGCTACAGTTTTTAGGAGTTAAAAGGAAACAATAATAGGACTATAGCACAATAAATTATATAAAATAGGCCAAATTCAGCCAAATTAATAATACAAATAATACATTCTAATCAAAAGTTCATCTACAAAAGTGCAAGCCACTGTATTTTTACAATTATTTTATGAGTAATATTGACATCCTGTCTGCGTTACAGTGAGACCACCTCAAAGTGTGCTTCTGCCTTATTGGGCAGAGCTCCACAGAGCAATGGACAGGGAGAAATACAGCATGAGCTGCATTTGCAAATGCTGTCAAATGCATGAGCACCTGTCCATCTGCAGAGAGAGTCCAGTCCAGAGGAGGAGTCCAGAGGAGGACCCCAGCACCGAGCGCTGAGACAAGAGCTGCTAAAACCATGAGGACATCTCCCTTTGCTTCTGGAACAGGGGACATGAGGATGTTAGCTGCTGCCCGCCCTAATATGGCTGTGAGAGAGGACCACAGACTGGCCTTTTGTCACACAGGGCGCAGCACAGGGCAGCACAGGGCAGCACCCACACAAAAAGAGCCCCTTGTCTTAAGTCTGAGCCCACAGTGAGGCTTCAGAGTGTACTGTACAACAGAGCTATTGACAGACTTGCACAAACGATACATTCTGAACATCAATATTCACAGTGCAGCTGTCAGAGCACATGATGCACACATATACAACCTGTTTCCACTCATGTTTTAAATTATTGGACTTTCAATGACATTTTTATTTTATTTTATAAATAGTACTGCAATAAACAGGGAAATGTTGTACATGGACAATTAAGTAAAGTGACATGGATGCATCGGTCATGTGGGACACGTTTACTTTATAAATTAGTTAAAGTAGTTATCGAAGTGTGAAATGGTACAAGGTTTAGCTTTACTTGATGAGAAATTCAACAACATGGGGCGTCATTTGGTGCAGCTGCATTGTGTAAATATGCATAAATGTGTATTATATGAATAAAACTCTCCCACATAAACAGAGCAGATTGTCTTTAAAAAAAAAAAAAATAAAAAAGAAAAAAAAAAAAAAAAAGAAAAAAAAAAAAAAAGGAAAGATAAAAAGAAAAAAGAATAAAAGAAAAATAAGAAGAAAAAAAGAAAAAATAAAAAGAATAAAGAAGAAAAAGAAAATAAAGAAAAAAAGAAAAAAATAAAGAAGAATAAGAAAAAAGAAATAAAAAAAAGAAAAGAAGAATAAAGAAAGAAAAGAAAGAAATAAAAAAGAAAAAGAAGAAAAAAATAAAAGAAAATAAAGAAAGAAAATAAAAGAAAAAAGAAATAAAGAAATAAGAAAAGAAAAAGAAGAAATAAAAAGAAAAAAAAGAATAAAAAAGAAAAAAGAAAAAGAAATAAAAGAAAAAAGAAATAAAGAATAAAGAAAAAAAGAAAATAAAAAGAATAAAAAGAAAAAGAAAATAAAGAAAAAAGAATAAAAGAATAAGAAAAAAGAAAAAAAGAAAATAAGAAGATAAAGAAAAAGAAAAGAATAAAGAAGAAATAAAAAGAATAAGAAGAAAAGAAGATAAAAGAAAAGAAGATAAAAAAGATAAAAAAGAAATAAGAAGATAAGAAGAAAAAGAAAATAAGAAAGATAGAAAAAGATAAGAAGAAAAGAAGATAAAAAGAAAAGAATAAAAGAAGAAAAGAAAAGAATAAAAGAATAAGAAGATAAAGAAGATAAAGAAAATAAGAAGAATAAAGAAGAATAAGAAGAAAAAGAAAGAATAAAAGATAAGAAATAAGAAGAAAGAAAATAAAGAAGATAAAAGAATAAGAAGAAAAAGATAAGAAAAAAAGAAATAAAGAAGATAAGAAAGAATAAGAAGAAAAGAAAAATAAAGAAGAATAAGAAGAAATAAGAAAAAAGAAGAAATAAGAAAGAATAAGAAAAAGAGAAAAAGAAGATAAGAAGAAAAAAGATAAGAATGAAAGAAAGGAGAAGAATGAATTATGAGGAAAATAGGATAGATATAAGAAAGATAGAATAAGTATAGAGAAGATGATAAAAGGAAAGATAAGGGAATAATGAGATAGATATAAGAGAGAAGATAAGAAGATGATAAAGAAGTAATAGGAGGGAAATGAGAATGAAAAGGATATTAAGATGATGTATAGTGAATAGAAGAATGTAATAGAGATTTGAGAATAGAGGTAATAATGGTAGATATAGTGGTAAGTAGAAGTGGAGGATTGGATGTAAGAGGTGTGATTTAAGTAGTATTGTAAGAGATGTAATGTGTTGAGGTGGTATTGGATGGAGTGTTTGGTTAGGGAAGGTGATGTGGGTAGGGGGTTGGGGATAGTTTATGGTGTGATAGTAGTGTGTTGGAGTGGGTGATGATTATGAGGTAGTGGATTAGGATGGTGGTAGAGGTGATTGGATTGGTGAGTTGGAGATGGAGGAAGTTAGTTGAATGGTGGGAGAGGTGAGGTTGATGGGTGGAAGTTGGTGTTGAGGTGGATGGATGAGTGTGGTGTTTGTGGGGTGTGGAGGGGTGTAGTGGGGAGTGGGGATGTGTTGGTAGGTTGGGTGAGGAGATGGGGGGGATGGTGTGGTGATGGGGGGGGGTGTTGGTGGTGGGATGGGATAGGGAGTTTGAGAGAGGGGATGGGTGGTAGTTGGGGATGGGTATGGGTGTGGTGGGGGTGGGATGTGGTGGGGGTGTGGGGGTGGATGAGGGTTGTGAGTGGGGTGGGTTGTGGGGGATGTTTTTGGTTTGTTGAGTGGTGGGGTTTTTGGTTTGTGGGGTGTGGGATGGTGGGTGTGGGGTGGGGTGGGTGATGGGGTGGGGTTTTGTATGGGTTAGGTTTGGTTGGGAGTTGGGTGGTGGTTGGTGTGTTTGGGTGGTGGGTGGTGTGGGGGTTGTGTTGGGTGGGTGGTGGGTGGGGTGGGGTGGTGTGGGTGTGGGGTGTTGTGGGTGGGTGGGTGGTGGGGGTGTGTTGGGGTGGTGGGGGTTGGGTGGGTGGTGTGGGGGGTTGGGTGTGGGGGTGGTGGGTTGGGTGGTGTGGGGGTGGGTTGTGGTGTGGGGTGGTGGTGTGGTGGGGGGTGTGGGTTGGTGGGTGTGGTGGGGTTGGGGGGTGGGTGTGTGTGGGGGTGGGTGGGGTGGTGGGTGGGGGGGTTGTGGGTGTGGGGTGTTGGGTGGTGTGGTGGGGTGTGGGGTGGTTGGGGTGGTGGGGGTGGTGTGGGGGGTGGGGTGGTGGGGGGGGGTTGGGGTGGTTGTGTGGGGGTGTTGGGGGTGGTGGGTGGGGTGGGTGTGGGGTGGTGGGGGGTGTGGTTGGGTGGGTGTTGTGGTGGGGTGTGGGTGGGGGGGTGGTTGGGTGGTGGGTGGTGGGGGTGTTGTGGTGTGGTGGGTGGTGGGGTGGTTGGGTGGTTTGTGGTGTTGGGTTTTGTGTTGGTTTTGGGGGTGGGGGTGGTTGTTGTGGTGTTTTTTTGGGGGTTGGGTGGTGTGTGTGGGTTGTGTGGGTGTTTGTGGTTGGTGGGGTTTGTGGTGTTGGTGGGTTGGGGTGGGGTGTGGTGGGGGGTGGTGTGGGTGGTTTGGGTGTTGGGTGTTGGGTTGGGGGTGGTTTGGGTTGTGTGGGGTGTGTGGGTTGTGGTGGGGGGGTGTGGGGGGGTGTGGGGTGGGGTGTGGGGTGGGATGTGTTGGGTGGGGGGTGTTGGGTGATGTTTGGGAGTGGGGTGTTTGGTGTGTTAGTTGGGTGGGTTGTGTGGTGGTGGGTTGTGGTGAGGGGGTGGTGGGGGGTGGGGGATGGTGGGGGTTTGTGGGGGTGGGGATGGTGTGTGGGGTTTGGTGGGGTGTAGTTGTGTATGGAGGGTGGGTTGTTGGGTGTGGGGTGTGGTGTTTGAGGGGGGGTTGGAGGGTAGGGTTGTGGTGGGGTTGGTGTTTGTGTGGTTGGAGGTGTGGGTATATGGTGGGGATGTGGGTGGTTGGTTGTGGTAATGGGTGGGGGTTGGGGTTGTTTGGTGATTTAGGGGTGTGGGGTGTTGGGTGGGTGTGGTGGTGTGTGGTGTGTGGTTTTTGTGTTGGGTGTTTTGGTTGGGGGGGTTGTGGTTGTGGGGTGGTGTGTGGTTGGGGGTTGTTGGGTGGTGGGGTTGGGGGGGGGGGTGTGGTTGGTGGGGTTGGTTGGTGGTGTTGTGGTGGGGTTTTGTATGTTGTATGGTGGGTGGATTGGGGGTTGTGGATGTTGGAGTGTATTGTTTGGGGGAGGTTGGGGGATGGGTGGTGTATGGGTTGTGGAGGGTTGGTAGGTTGTTTATTTGATTGTGGTATGATTGTGGGTGGATATTAGTGGAGAGGGGTGGTGAGTTGGAAGATAGAGTATGAGTTGTGGGGAGAGTAGGTGTGTTAGGGTAGGTTTGTAAGGGTGATAAATATAGGAGAAAAAAATAGTTAGGGGTGGGGGGTTTTTGGAGTGTGGTGAATGGTTTGGGAGGGAATGGGGGGATGGAAATAGTGGGTGATGTATAGGTTAGGTTTGGGGGGTGTAGTACGGGATGGGGGTTAAGGGTGGATTTGGTTAGGGGGTGATGGAATTTGTTTATGTGGACGATGGGGCATAAGGGGGATGCTGGGAATTTAGATATAGGATTAGATGAATGTGTGAAGGGAGGAAATATGATAGAGGATAGGAAGAGAGGAATGGGGAATTTATGAATTTTAGATGTACGTAAGTGTGGGTGGTTGATTGAATGGGTAGGAATTTTTGAAGAGTATTGGGAGGGAGGGGTGGTGTTGGGGTTCATGAGGTTAATGGGGGGTAAGGTGATGGCGAAGAGGGAAGAGTTGATATGAGAAATAAGATTATGGGGAGGAGGGGTTGTATGAGGATAGGGAGGTTTAGAGAGAGGGAATAGAAGATGAAGGGGATGTTCAGCTGGTCTTTGCAACTGGTGCAGGTGGGGTGCTAAGGTTGTGCTTTACATGGTTTTATTTTGAGGAGTGAATTTTCGCACCAGTAGTGGTATGATTTGTTTGATAATGGGGGGTAGGGGTTTATACGGCGAATAGTGTGAGCATAGGTAGGGGAAGTAGGTTTGATGGGCTAGGTGAGTTAAAATTTTGAGTTGAAATTTAGAGTATATAGTAGATGTCCTGGGATGTATTTTAGATTGAGGTGGAATATGTATGTTGATGGGATGGAGAGAGTTTATGATGGGATGATTTAGATGATTTGAGAGTGGGGGGTGATGGTGTTGCTGGGTATGTGTGGGAATAGGAGTGAGGTAAGGGAGGGGGGAATTTAGGTTAATGTTTAGGATGAGGGGGAGTAATTGTTGTAGAGAGGTGGGTGTGTGAGTAGGAGGGAGAGGGGAGGGAGTCACGAGGATTGTGTCAGATAATGGACTGGTTGAATGAGGGGGATTGTTATGAGGAATTTGATGGATGGAGAAGTAAGGATGGGGAGGAGGGAGGGGGGTTGGGTGGGGGTATGATAGGGTTAATGGAAGAGGGAGGGGAATGGAGTTGAGGAAAGGGGGAATGATTAAGTGGGAGTGGAGAAATATGGATTGGGGTGGATTAAGGGGAAGATTTGAGTAATGGGATGGAGAAGGGGGGGGAAGTAATATTTGAATGAGGGGAGATATTGGGAATAGATAGATGAAGGAGGATATGAAGGGTGGGTAATAGTGGTAATGATGTAATGTGGATGTTGTTTTATGTAGGTAATAATAAGAAATGAAAAAAGTGTTTATAGAAGTGTTGTTAGGGGAAGGTGAGGAATAGTGAGGGTGAGGGTTAATTTATGGTTAGGTTTTGTGGAGAGTTTGGGGTAGGAAGGTTATTGGGAATTTGGTTGGAGGTAGGGGGGGGGGTGGACATGTTTGTATTTGTTGTTTTTTAGTAGTATGAGTTTGGGGTGTTATTTATGTGGGATTTGTTGTGGGGTTTATAGTAGTAGGGGATAGTGGATTAAGATATTGGATAAAAATAGATGGTTTTGAATGAAGGATTGAGAGTGAGTTGGGTTTATGAGGGGAGTGAGGGGGTGTATGAGGTTATAATGGATTGGAATTAATTTTGTATTAGTGGGAAGATTTATAGATAATTTGGAAGTGTGTGAGGGATATTTGTTGGGGATATTGAGATGGATATTTGTTGAATTTGGGGGGGTAGTGGGTAATTGGAGAATGAGTTGTGATATGTTGATAGGGGTGAATATGTGGGGTTTATGTTTATGTATGGGGTTTGTTGTGGTTTGGGGGGGATGAAGAGTTTGGGAGGGGGAATTATGGTAGGAAATGTAGGGAGAGGGATTATGAGAGGGGTATAGTGTGGTGGTGGTATGGGATTTATGAAGAGGGGTGGTATAGGGATGGTTGATGGGTGTAAGGAGTAATTTAGGTGTATGGAATAATTATATGATTATATTAAATATTGTGAGAGAAGGAATGAGATTATTAAAGAGGATAGAAGAGTAAGATATATATTGGAATAGGTATATGGAAGGATGTTTATTTTTGTGTAGGAGTGATTTGTGTGTGGTAGGAGGTTGAAGATAGGGTGGAAAATATAGGGGATTTGGGAGTTTTAGTAAGATTATAATTTTTTAGTATTAATTGTGGTTTTTGTTTAGGGGGGGGAGGTTATAGTGGATGAGTGGGTTATGGATGGGGGTGGGGGTTTGGTTTAAAATTTATTATGTATGGGTGAGGATGTGAAGGTAGTTAATTAGTTTGGAAGGAAAGGGTTTGGGTTTTTTGTAGTTTTTGTAGGATGGGGGGGTAAGATTGAATAGAGGGTTTTTATGGTAATATGATGGTGGGAAGGTTTTGTATTGTATAAGTTATGGGTTTTTGTGTTAAGGTGAGGAATGGGAGGATAAGTATATTTGTGTTTGTTGTGAGGGAAGATAAGAGGGGTGGGGTTGAGATGGTTGAGAGAATTATGGTTGGTTATGTGTTATGGGGGGGATTGTATTAGAAAAGGTTAATTGGGTTGTTGTGTAGGGGTTTGAATGATTGGTTGTGGAAATTAAGTTGGTTTTAGGGGGGTTAAAATAAATGTAGGGTATGTGTGGGTGGGTGTTATGTTTGGTTTGGTTTAGAGGAGTTTTATGTTTGTGTTTTGTATTGGTGGGTGAGGGGTAAAGGGGGGGGGGGGGGGGGGAGGATATGTGAGGTTAGGAGGAAAAAATGTAGAAGAAGGTGATGGTGTATATGTTTGTTATGTGAGTTGAATATTAGATGAGGGTGGGTTATGTTTAGGGGGTTATATAGTTGTTTATGGGGATATGGGGGGATGAGATATGAAGGTTATGATATAGGGGATGTGGTGGGGATGATGGAGAGGGTAGTTTTTAAAAAATTAGAATGTTAGAGGGTTGATTATTGATGGTTGATGATTGGATAGATTGTGGGTTTAGGGAGGGGGGGGGAGAGGAGAGGGGTGTGGTTTGTTTTTTTGGGAATATTGTGTTGTGTAAATATTGTTGATAGAATTAGGGTGGGTTTTAGGGGGGTTGTGGGGATTTTAGGATAGTATGGGGGGGGTTGTTAGGTATTGGTTTAGGGTGATGGTATAATATGTGTGGAAGAAGTTAGTGGGTTGGGGGGGTGGTAGGGGTATATGTATGAGAAGTATGGATTTTGATAGGATGAGAGGTGAAGGTAAGTTTAAAGTTGATAATTATGGTGAGGGAGATGGAGAGATAGAGAGGAAGAGATTTGTTAGGGTTGTTATAAGAGGGGTATGGAGAGAATGGGAAAGAATAATTTTGGGAGGGTATGGGTGAAATGTGATAAATAGAGGTAGATATTATAGAGGGTGAAATTGAGTATGTTATATAGGAGGGGATTGATAGGGAAGTTGAGTTTTGAGGAAGTTGGGTTATAAGAAGAGAGGATGGGTATTAATGAAGGTTTTAGGAAGGGGGAGGATGGATTAGGTTGGGGTGTTGGGGTGAGGGAGGGGTTGGGGGTGAGGGTGTGGGTTAGGTGAGGGGGGGGGGGATATAGGTGAGAGGTGGGTAGATTGGATTGAGTTGGTTGGGGTTTTGGGTGGTTTTATTTGAGGGGGATGGTTAGGGGTTGGTGTGTGGTTGTGTAGGGGATGTGGTGTTGTTGGTATTATTTTGGGTGTAGGGGTTTGTGGTGTGGAGAGTGTTGGAGTTTTTAGGGATAAGTTGTATTTGTTGTTTGGGTTGGTTTGTTTGGTTGTGGAGTTTAGGTTGAGGAAGGTTTTTTAGGTAATGATGTTTTGTTTGGGGGGATGGTTGTTTTTGATAATACGTGTTGTTGGTGGTGGTGTTAGTTGTGGTTTGGTTGGGTGGTGGATGGGGTGTGGTGGGATATTGGTTAAAGTTAAAATAGGGGTGAGGGGTTGGATGAAGTATAGGGTGAGGAGGATAAAGTAGGGATTGGATAGAAGGTATGGGAGAAATTGGGTTAGATAGGGATGAAGGTTGGGGAATTGGGGAGGAAGAGGAGGGGTTATTGTGTTTGATATTGATAATGATGTAATGTGTTAGAAGATATGATATTATTGTGGTTTTGAAGAGGGAAGGTTTGTGAGGGTTGGTAGTGGGGTGGGGGATTTATAGGATAATGTGTTTGGTAATGGAGTGGAGTAAGTTATTGATTAGGTTTTATGAAGTGAAGAAGGAGTAAGGGGGTTAGAAGAGAAAGAATGTGAGGTGGAGGAGTAGGTAGGGGGGGAGGGTTTGTATTGGTAATGAGGGTTGGGGGAAGAGTGTGTGTTTTGATGGATGGTGATAGGGAATGAGAGAGAGATTTATAGGGTGGGGTATGAATTTGATAGGGGAGATTTGAGGGATAATGTGGTATAGGAGGGGAATAGAGAGGGGGGTATGAGGGTGTGAGGGGATGGGTATGGTATAGTAGGGAGGGTATAAGTTGTGGTGGTAATTAGTGGATATGGGTGGTGGATGGGGAGTTAAAGTGGAATGGGGGGGTAATTAAGTTTTTATAATTGTATTTTTTGTGGATATAGGGGAGGTGTATGGAGTTGGGGGGTTATGTGGAGGTAAGGGAGGAGTGTTTGAGTTTGGGATTTAATTTTTTTGGGTAGAGAGGATGTTTTTGAGTTTGAGTAGTGGATGGGGTGTGGTAAATTGGGTTAGTTGGGTGTGTTAGGTTTGATATATTTTGTATGGTTTTGGTTTGTGTTGGTATGTATTTGATTTTATGTGGGGATTGGGGTATAGAGTGGGGTGGTATTGAGATAGGAGATTAGTTGAGTGATTATGGTGGTTTGGGTGTTGTTGTGATGGGGGTGTGTGTTGGTTTTGTTTGTTGGGTGGGGTTGGTTGGTGGGGTTTGGGTGTGGTGTGTGTATGGGTGGGTTGGTGTTGGTGGGGGGTGGGTGTGGTTAGGGGGTTGGGTGGGGGGGTGTGTGTTTGGTTGGTTATTTTTGGGGTGTTGTGTGGGGTTTTTTGGGGTGGGGTGTGGGGTTTGTGTTGTATGTTGGGGTGGGGGGGGGGGTTTGGTTGGGGTTGGGTGGGTGTTGTTGTTTTTGGGTGTGTTTTGGGGGGGTGGGGTGGTTGGGTGTTTGTTGGTTGGGGGGTGGGTGTTGGGGTGTGGTGGGGGGTGGTTTTGGGTTTTGGGGTAGTGGGGGTTGGTGGTGTGGGTGGTGTGTGGTGTGGGGGGTGGTTGGTTTGGTGTGTGTGGTTTGTTTTGTTTGGGTGGGGGTTGTTTGGTTGGGGTTGGTTTGGGTGGGGGGGTTGGGGGGTTGTTTGTTGGTTGGTTTGGTTGTGTTTTGGTGGGTGTTGGGTGGGGTTGTTGGGTGGAGTGTGGGGTGTTTTGTTGGTTTGTGGGTGTGGTGGGTGTGGGTGTGATTGTGGTTTGAGTGGTGGAGTAGTTGTGTAATGTAGTTGGGGGGTTGGGGGGTTTTGGGGGGGTGTGTATTGTTGTGGGTGTGAGTGTGTGGGGGGGTGGGGGGGGTGGGGGGGGTGGGAAGGGAGGGGGTGGGTGGGGTGGGGGGGGGGGGGGAGGGGTGGGGGGGGTGGGGGGTGGGGGGGGTAGATGGTTGTTGGGGTTGAGATGTGTGATGGGTGGGGGGTGTGATGTTGTATTTTTGTGTGTTGAGTTGGTGGGGTGTTGGGATGTGTTGTGGGGGTTAATGGTTGTGGGGGGGTGGTGGTGGTTTGGTTGTGGGGGTAGTTGGTGTGTTTATTGTAAGGGGTGTGGGGTTTGGATTGTGGGGGGGTGGTGTGGGTATGTGTGTGTTGGTGTTTTGGTGGAGTGGGGAGGGGGGGGATTTGTGGATGGGGGGGGGTTAATTTGGTTGGGGGGGGGTGGTGGGGAGTTAGTATGGTATGGTGGGTAGGAGTAGAGGATGATGAGATGTGGGGTGGGAAGGAGGGTGGAGAAGGTTGGGGGTGGTGTGTGGGGGGGAGGAATAAGTTGGGGAGAGGGGTATGTGTTATGATTGAGGAGGGAGGGTGGGGATTTTGGGTGGGGGTGTGGGTTTTTGGGTTGGATGGGGGTGTGTTGGTGGGGTTGGTAGGGGGGGGTGTGGTTGGTGGGAGTGAGTGTGTTGGAATAGGGGGAAGGGAGTATGGGGGGGGTTGTGGGGGTGGTGATGTTGAGGTTTGGTGTGAGTTGTGATTTTGTTGTGTGTGGAAGGTGGTGTTGGGGGTGGGGGGTGTGATGGGTGGGGGGATGTTTTGGGATGGAGAGGAGATTTGGGGGTTGGGGGGGTGAGGTGGGAGATGGTGGGGGGTGGGGGGGTGAAGGGGGTAGGAGTGAAGGGAGTAGAGTATATGGGTTGTTGGTAGAGGGGAAGTGGGGTGATGTTGGGTGGGGGGGATGGGGGGTGTGATAGAAGTGGGAGGGGGTGGGTTTTGGTGGTTTGGTGATGGTGGTAGAGTTGTGGTGTTGTGGGGGGATTATGTTGTGGTATGTGGGATTGGGTGAGGGGAATGAGGGTGGTGATTTATTGTTGGTGTTAGTGATTTGGGGTTGGAGGATATTTTGTGAGGGGGGATTGGGTATGTGTGAATAGAGTAGGTGGGTATATTTGTGGAAAATGTTGTATTGAGTTATATTGGGGAGGTTGGTGTGTGAGGTGAGGGGGGATTAGGATATATGTGAATTGGGGTTGGTTGTATGTGGGTGGGGGGGGTGTGTGATGGAGGTATTAGGGGGGGGGGGTGTGAGGGTGGGTTTTGGTTGTGGGGGGGGTGGGTGTTGGGGTATGGTAGGTTGGTGGGGTTTGTGTGGTGTGGGTGTGGGGGGGGTGAGAGTTGTGTGGGGTGGGTTGTGTAAGGTTGTGAGTATGATGGGGTGGTGTGTTGGGGGGATGTGTGATGTGTTGTGTGGTATGTTTGGGGTGTGGTTGGAGAAGAATAGAAATGAGGTGGTAGTATGGTGTGGTTGTATAATAAAAATGAAAGGGAGGTGGATGAAAATTTAAATAGGATAAATTTTTAGTATTTATAGGATGTTTGTAGTAAAAAGATTTATAGAGAGATAGAAAATTTAAATAGGTGAAGGTTATAAAATTTTTATTTGTAGGATGAATTGGGAGATGTGGGGTGGGTGGTTTGGGTGTGGGGGTTTAGAAGAGTTTAGTATTGGTATTTGATATTATATTGGTAAATAGTGATGTAAAAGTGTACAATAAAAGGTAACATGGGAAAATTCGTAGTGAGTAAAAAGTGTAATAGATTTAACAGCTGTTATGAAGCAAAGCTGACATCGAGGGGTAGTATAATTTGACAGTTGAAAGACAACACGTACAGCTGAGCTCATCGAAGAGGTTAGACAAAGAACAAAGCCGCAAAGAAGCAGCATATATCCACAATAGCACCAGTATTATCACAGAAAATACATGCTACAGGAATTGCAAAAACAACTTGTGTGGAAATATCATGTACATTCATTTAATCAATAGTATTAAAATGATATGCGGGTTTCAGGTTGGATTTAGACTGAAATGGCTGTCCTTGGCAAGCCGCCCTGATAGACTTCCTGCCTGTTGGTCCTCAGAATGCCGCTCACACTCAGATAGGTGTCGGTCGGGGGCCTTTGCTCCGCCATGTGTGGGGGGGGTCTTCGTTACGAAGGGGGGGGGTTTTTTTTTCCAATAAAAAAACCAAAAGTGAACAATCTGGAGAAAAGTGTTGGGGATCTACGTGTATAAGACTGTGTTTGGCTTCCCTCACCCGATCCCTTTGCCATCGACATGGCAAAGGTTTCGCAATATAACCTGCGTCTCAATTTGGTCCAAACCTCAGGCCATTTCAAACTGCGAGGGATGTGAAGGAGGATATCAGGAGAAGCAGCTTATTAAAGGAGCCTGTGTTACTTTGGGGCGACTTAGAGCCCTAAAAGCTGCCAACTGCGCACTAAGGAGGCTTACCAAATATGTTTCCTTATGGTTTTGGTCAACTTGCCAAACTACGGCGGTCCTAGACATTTGTAGATGTAATTTTGTAGCCTCGTAAATCCGGATTTTTTAAATAAATATACTTCCATAGTCGACTGTGGAGTTTGTGCCACTGCAGATATTAGTATGGCACACTCGGACAGAGAGGCCATGTGCTGTTGAACGAGGGGCAAGAAAGGATGTACGGATGTGAACGTGTGGAGATATGACATCTGGACACAGGTTGCGTGCGGGACAAATGTTTATTTAAGGCCTGACCCTCAAAGTTTACAATTACGGTACACATGAAAGAGGGTACCACCCACAAACGTTATCCACTTGTTTCCCACTTTTCTTAGAAGACCACCAAATCACTACATTTCATGAATAAAAAGTAAAATAATAAAAAAACACTACATTTGTGTGAACCAGTTTGGTGGAATATAAAAGGTATTTAATTAAGTATTAACTAAAGAATGTGGGACACAATATTTAAAGACTATTGTAAAATCTAAAAACACAAACATAAGTGGTTGGCCAGGCATCATGCTGTGTAGGTCTGCTGTTTCTTTCTGCAAGGAGGGGGAGAGGGGATCGACAAATATTGATGTATGAAAAAATGGAGCCAAAAATAAAAGGGCATTTTTTGTATAGTAAGGTTAATTTTGGATAGGTCTGTAAAAAATTGGGGCTGTGAAAAAGCCCAGAGAGCTAACAGTGTTTTGAGGACGTTTAATAAGGAAACAATAATAGGACTATAGAACAATAAATTTGATATAAAATTAAGCCCAACATATTCAGTCCAAACTAATAATACAAATAATACATTCAATCAAAATGTTCATTCTACAAAAGTGCAAGGCCATCTGTATTTTTACAATTATTTTTAAGAGTAATATTACATCACTGCTGTCTGCGTTACAGTGAGTACCCAACCTCAAAGTGAGCTTCTGCCTTATTGGGCAGAGCTCCACAGAGCAATGGACAGGGAGAAATTACTTGTGAGCATGAGTCGCCCTTTTGTCACACAGGGCGCAGCACAGGGCAGCACAGGGCAGCACCCACACAAAAAGAGCCCCTTGTCTTAAGTCTGAGCCCACAGTGAGGCTTCAGAGTGTACTGTACAACAGAGCTATTGACAGACTTGCACAAACGATACATTCTGAACATCAATATTCACAGTGCAGCTGTCAGAGCACATGATGCACACATATACAACCTGTTTCCACTCATGTTTTAAATTATTGGACTTTCAATGACATTTTTATTTTATTTTATAAATAGTACTGCAATAAAACAGGGAAATGTTGTACATGGACAATTAAGTAAAGTGACATGGATGCATCGGTCATGTGGGACACGTTTACTTTATAAATTAGTTAAAGTAGTTATCGAAGTGTGAAATGGTACAAGGTTTAGCTTTACTTGATGAGAAATCAACAACATGGGGCGTCATTTGGTGCAGCTGCATTGTGTAAATATGCATAAATGTGTATATATATGAATAAAACTCTCCCACATAAACAGAGCAGATTGTCTTTTGGGGATTTTATTTTCACTGGATGTCTGCTGCCATGCCCAAATCAGCTGTGTCTTCAAACTGCACCTTGTAGTCACTTTCCTGCTCTTCAAATACTATCACCTTCCAAACGAAAAATCACAATATTTCAATACCCAATAACATTTTGAGTCAAAGTTTTGGCGTATTCAATCTGGCTACCTGGTTGATTCCACTGTTGAGAAAGGGCCCTGGGAGATAAAGAGACTGCTGAGGACCAATAGACCAATAGCGACCAAGATTCAGGCCATTGATGAAGACCACACCCTTTTCCCAGCCCTGAAAATGTAGAATTATAGATATTAAACATAAATGGGAGAAGTGTGGTGGAGATGGTCTTACTGATGTCATTGGAGACAGTATAGGTCCATGATTATCTAATTAACTACGCAATTTAGGTAAGATCAATGTACTTTTGACTCACCTGTAATTTCACAAATGTGTCGCCTGGATATCCATAAACAAAAAGCTTCCCCATGAAGAACCCTGGAAAGCTGGGGTTTTTGGAAAGAGTTTTCCAAGGTGCCTGATAGAGACTAAAACAAAGCAATTTCCAATCACAAATAAATAAATATAATCTGTTTATTTCACAAAGCAATAACACTCTCAAACCTGTCAATAAAACTGGGATTCATATCCAGGCTGTATATTATGAAGTCCCTCAGGGGAATATGGTTTAATAAAATGTCCCCCACCAGACCTGGAGAAAGACCAATCAACGTCACTGGCGGCTGAGTGATTTAATATCAGTAACAATGTGCTGCATATTATCCGTCCATCACCTTTATGTTCTTTATCCAGGTCTCTTCCCTGATGCACACGGCCACAGTTTTCCACCAACAAACTCAGAGTTCTTTTTGCCTAGATGGAACCAATGGCTACAAAGTTTACATCTGTATTAACAACATGGAAGCAGCTGAAGAGAGAGTGATGTCGTACCTGACCGCCCGGAATGGCCAGTTCCAGAGTTTGGCGCTTGAAAAGACCGATATAGACTTTGTCCACAAATATCTTATATAAAGAAACAAATTGAGCATAAATTTAACGTCTTATATACTGTAGTTCTACTAATATAGTTCCCATTAAACTATTATAACTATAGTTGCGCTGAGATATCAGAATCTCTATTTCAGGACAATCTTGGCTGCATAGGGGAGGAGCCTACTGTGCTTAGGGAAACCGGAGCAGACACAGGCAGAACATGCAAACTCCACTCAGAAAATCAATGCACCGTCAAAACCAATGTGATGAGAAATAGCACAATTTAAAAGTTGGATTTTATATTTTTGTGTGACACACTTTCAAGTTTACCAAAGATCTCAAGAAATGGTTACATTTATATTGGAATGCATGTTTTGATTAGCCATGCAGATATGAGGTATGTTTTGTGTATTATCTATCAGACTGGGTTGGATGGAAGGAGAGTAGAAGGAGGGTGGAATGAAGGTGGGAGGACGGTGGAACTAGGGTGGAAGGAGGTTGGAAGGAGGTTGGAAGGAGGGTGGAAGGAGGTTGGAAGGAGGGTGGAAGGAGGGTGGAAGGAGGTTGGAAGGAGGTTGGAAGGAGGGTGGAAGGAGGTTGGAAGGAGGGTGGAAGGAGGTTGGAAGGAGGTTGGAAGGAGGTTGGAAGGAGGTTGGAAGGAGGTTGGAAGGAGGGTGGAAGGAGGTTGAAAGGAGGGTGGAAGGAGGGTGGAAGGAGGTTGGAAGGAGGGTGGAAGGAGGTTGGCAGGAGGGTGGAAGGAGGTTGAAAGGAGGGTGGAAGGAGGGTGGAAGGAGGTTGGAAGGAGGGTGGAAGGAGGTTGGCAGGAGGGTGGAAGGAGGTTGGAAGGAGGGTGGAAGGAGGGTGGAAGGAGGTTGAAAGGAGGGTGGAAGGAGGGTGGAAGGAGGTTGGAAGGAGGGTGGAAGGAGGTTGGCAGGAGGGTGGAAGGAGGTTGGAAGGAGGGTGGAAGGAGGGTGGAAGGAGGTTGGAAGGAGGGTGGAAGGAGGGTGGAAGGAGGTTGGAAGGAGGGTGGAAGGAGGTTGGAAGGAGGGTGGAAGGAGGTTGGAAGGAGGTTGGAAGGAGGTTGGAAGGAGGGTGGAAGGAGGTTGGAAGGAGGTTGGAAGGAGGTTGGAAGGAGGTTGGAAGGAGGTTGGAAGGAGGGTAGAAGGAGGTTGGAGGGAGGTTGGAGGGAGGTTGGAAGGAGGTTGGAGGGAGGTTGGAGGGAGGGTAGAAGGAGGTTGGAGGGAGGTTGGAAGTAGGTTGGAGGGAGGTTGGAAGTAGGTTAGAAGGAGGGCGGAAGGAGGGTAGAAGGAGGTTGGAGGGAGGTTGGAGGGAGGGTAGAAGGAGAGCGGAAGGAGGGTAGAAGGAGGGTAAGAAGGAGGGTGGAAGGAGGTTGGAAGGAGGTTGGAAGGAGGTTGGAAGGAGGTTGGAAGGAGGTTGGAAGGAGGGTTGGAAGGAGGGTGGAAGGAGGTTGGAAGGAGGTTGGAAGAAGGTTGGGAGGAGGGTGGAAGGAGGTTGGAAGGAGGTTGGAAGGAGGGTGGAAGGAGGTTGAAAGGAGGGTGGAAGGAGGGTGGAAGGAGGTTGGAAGGAGGGTGGAAGGAGGTTGGCAGGAGGGTGGAAGGAGGTTGGAAGGAGGGTGGAAGGAGGGTGGAAGGAGGTTGGAAGGAGGGTGGAAGGAGGTTGGAAGGAGGTTGGAAGGAGGGTGGAAGGAGGTTGGAAGGAGGGTGGAAGGAGGTTGGAAGGAGGTTGGAAGGAGGTTGGAAGGAGGTTGGAAGGAGGTTGGAAGGAGGTTGGAAGAAGGTTGGGAGGAGGGTGGAAGGAGGTTGGAAGGAGGTTGGAAGGAGGGTGGAAGGAGGTTGAAAGGAGGGTGGAAGGAGGGTGGAAGGAGGTTGGAAGGAGGGTGGAAGGAGGTTGGAAGGAGGTTGGAAGGAGGTTGGAAGGAGGTTGGAAGGAGGTTGGAAGGAGGTTGGAAGGAGGGTGGAAGGAGGTTGGAAGGAGGTTGGAAGAAGGTTGGGAGGAGGTGGTGGAGGAGGTTGGAGGAGGTGGAAGGAGGGTGGAAGGAGGTTGAAAGGAGGGTGGAAGGAGGGTGGAAGGAGGTTGGAAGGAGGGTGGAAGGAGGTTGGCAGGAGGGTGGAAGGAGGTTGGAAGGAGGGTGGAAGGAGGGTGGAAGGAGGTTGGAAGGAGGGTGGAAGGAGGTTGGAAGGAGGTTGGAAGGAGGGTGGAAGGAGGTTGGAAGGAGGGTGGAAGGAGGTTGGAAGGAGGTTGGAAGGAGGTTGGAAGGAGGTTGGAAGGAGGTTGGAAGGAGGTTGGAAGGAGGTTGGAAGGAGGTTGGAAGGAGGGTGGAAGGAGGTTGGAAGGAGGGTGGAAGGAGGTTGGAAGGAGGTTGGAAGAAGGTTGGGAGGAGGGTGGAAGGAGGTTGGAAGGAGGTTGGAAGGAGGTTGGAAGGAGGTTGGAAGGAGGGTGGAAGGAGGTTGGAAGGAGGTTGGAAGGAGGTTGGAAGGAGGTGGAAGGAGGTTGGAAGGAGGGTGGAAGGAGGTTGGAAGGAGGTTGGAAGGAGGTTGGAAGGAGGGTGGAAGGAGGTTGGAAGGAGGTTGGAAGGAGGTTGGAAGGAGGTTGGAAGGAGGTTGGAAGGAGGTTGGAAGGAGGTTGGAAGGAGGTTGGAAGGAGGTTGGAAGGAGGTTGGAAGGAGGTTGGAAGGAGGTGGAAGGAGGGGTGGAAGGAGGTTGGAAGGAGGTTGGAAGGAGGTTGGAAGGAGGTTGGAAGGAGGGTGGAAGGAGGTTGGAAGGAGGTTGGAAGGAGGGTGGAAGGAGGTTGGAAGGAGGTGGAAGGAGGTTGGAAGGAGGTTGGAAGGAGGTTGGAAGGAGGTTGGAAGGAGGTTGGAAGGAGGTTGGAAGGAGGGTGGAAGGAGGTTGGAAGGAGGGTGGAAGGAGGTTGGAAGGAGGTTGGAAGAGGTTGGAAGGAGGGTGGAAGGAGGGTGGAAGGAGGTTGGAAGGAGGTTGGAAGGAGGTTGGAAGGAGGGTGGAAGGAGGTTGGAAGGAGGTTGGAAGGAGGGTGGAAGGAGGTTGGAAGGAGGGTGGAAGGAGGTTGGAAGGAGGTTGGAAGGAGGTTGGAAGGAGGGTGGAAGGAGGTTGGAAGGAGGTTGGAAGGAGGTTGGAAGGAGGTTGGAAGGAGGTTGGAAGGAGGGTAGAAAGGAGGTTGGAGGGAGGTTGGAGGGAGGTTGGAAGGAGGTTGGAGGGAGGTTGGAGGGAGGGTAGAAGGAGGTTGGAGGGAGGTTGGAAGTAGGTTGGAGGGAGGTTGGAAGTAGGTTAGAAGGAGGGCGGAAGGAGGGTAGAAGGAGGTTGGAGGGAGGTTGGAGGGAGGGTAGAAGGAGAGCGGAAGGAGGGTAGAAGGAGGGTAAGAAGGAGGGTGGAAGGAGGTTGGAAGGAGAGTGGAAGGAGGTTGGAAGGAGGTTGGAAGGAGGGTCGAATGAGGGTGGAATGATTTTGGAGGGAGGTTGGAAGTAGGTTAGAAGGAGGTTGGGGGGAATTTGGAAGGAGGTTTGAAGGAGGGTGGAACTAGGGTAGAAGGAGAGGTCAAAGTATGAGCTATAAACTTGTTTGGCCATTAAAGCGCATGGTTATTTAATTGACTCTCAGAAATCTAACACTAAAAGGTGAAGTGACAGTAGCAGCGCATGTTTAGACAGACTCACCAGTGCCCTGTCCCTCACACTGTCTCCAGACTTCAGGATTCCTCCAGTGGTGATAGTGGTTTCATACAGAGTGTAGCCATGAGCTTGTCCACTGTTGCCATTCACAGGGAGATTCTCCATGCTCACTGGTTTGTGTGACTTGAACGGCTGTAGACAAAATTACACACAACATTCGTTACACACTATACACACTCACACACGCACACACACATACATACTTTTTCTGTGAAGCTCAGAGCATCCCACATGGACAAGTGCTGGTACATTATGGCAGGTTCATAGGCCTCTCTGTAATGTAAAGTGGGCATATCTGGGAAGGGTCTATCATCTGCTTCAAAGATCAGAAACGTAGCTTAAAGATTCATTCAACCAAGATTATATATGAATACTGCTGAGCTTACTGCTATAGCGAGAAAGTAGATCTCTAAGAAGATGATACTTAGGCGTGTATTCTCCAGATTCAGACAATGGAGCGTTATAATCTGAAAAGGAGAGCCTTTGTGATAAGACACTGCCATCTATAGACTGTAAACGGGATTACATCCGCTAAATCACATTTTCAAATTATAATATTCTTACATTTTTGTTGTGAAAGAGAATACTTATGGATAAAACTGACCATAGCTGGGAACCAGAGCTCGATACGTGGGATCAGCCAGGGCTCCGCTCATGAAACCAAAACTAGATCCTCCATGGAACATATACAAGCTGACAGATATGCCCCGTCTTAGAATTTCTCTCACTGTTGAAACCATATCTGGGGGAGAAAGAATAGGGTTAATTTGCTCTAAAGCCGTACTCATCAGCATGCAAATGTTTTCCTCAAAAACAAAAAAAACTGGAACTGATTTGCATTTGACGTCATTTGCATGTGATATTATCATATTTCCAAAGGGAGGTTGGAAAAAGACCATTATGACAGCTGCACGGGCTTTAGAGGATATTTACACTGAGCAGCCCTCGTTTGAATGTTTTGAATCTAGTCTATTCCAGAGTGTGCAGTGTGTGTCAGTCTTTGGTAGTGACCAAATAAACCCCACTGTAGTCACATTTGTAGCCTGGGCCTGGCTGATGTGCAGGTGTGTAATGATGAGTGTCCAACTGTCATTATGGTGATTTCATTATGAATTATTGCACAGTTTACACAACTGTATATAAACAGAAAACCACGATTCACCAGAAAAGAAAATAGGACAGAAATGCAGTTCAGAATGCAGTGGTGCAGTGTAAAAACTGTTGGCCTTTGATAACTTCACTACTGGCTTGCGCCCCCAACTGGATATGTATGGTAGTGCGCCTTAACCAAAAACTCCCATACCATAAGGACGATATTAAGCAACTGAAATTGGCCATAACAGAATAACATTGTCTACAAAGAATGGAGCTTACCTTCTGGTGGAAGGGTATGATGGAGCTCACCCCATGTATCGTACCAGCCAGTCCAGTAGTCCATGATCATTGTCGGGCTATTGGGCTGATTGAAGCAGAACCACAAGAATAAGTTTAATTACACGATTTCAAACATAAAACGTATCATTAATGAGGATACATACTTGTAAGGCAATCAAATCCTGGATGTCTTTCTGATTCAGCTTCTGTAGCTTTAATGTCCTTACAACTAGAAGATAAAAATCAGGCTCATAAATTACAATAGGATTTATTTATGACTTAAGTCCTTATTATCTGTATTTATTTTATTGACAGCAGTGATCTGAAATGGCTGAATAACCTCTCCACTGACTCCAAGTTTTGAACAGAATGAATACATGAATCAAACACGCTGCATCTAATAGATTCTTTCTATTAGATGCAGTGTTATTTAGACATGGACATTCTAGGTATACATGTAGAGATAGAGGATAGGTGAGACTGACATTTTCAGAGCACTCAAGCCTGCTGTGGGACATGGCAGAATTAAGCAAACATTCATGGATCAAAGAAAAGGATGGAATCTACAAATGCATGAAAGTAGATTTTACACACAATGCAGTACCTCCATTCACACTTCCTGATTTTAAAGTGTTATGAGAGTCGGATGTAAGTAAGAGCTCAGTTATCCCTCTAGTTTGCAAAGCCTTGATGCACAAACAAAAATGATAGAATAAATATTTGAGTAACACTTTACAACATTGTATCTCTAAACTAGAAGCTGGCAGTCACCTCTTTAATAAACTTCATATAACTATCATCTTTGGCGAAAGATCCATATGCATTTTCAACCTGCACTGCAATAATAGGACCTCCTTTTTTGAACTGTGAAGGGAAAAAAGATATTTATTTGATGAGTCTTCAACGACATCAAGTGCTACATGTGTAGACCACATTTTTATGGAATATGCAAGTTAATGAATATGTAACAACGAATACAGCAATATACATATAACAAGATTTGGATTAATTTAGCCGTACAGGTCAGACGCCTGTGAAAGACATTGACCTACCTGCAGTGGGACTAAATTAGGAATCAACTTGTCGAAATAAGCATTGACCGCCTCAGTGAACCCTGCGTATGTAGTTCTGAGTTTCATCTTGTCATCTCGGAGAAGCCAGCTTTAAATGAAGGGAACGAGATTTTATGAAGACAGACGAGTAACAATGAAAGTCACTGTTCAATTGGCAAGGCAAGTTTATATGTATAGCACAGTTCAAGGCAAGTGCTTAACAAAACAAGAAAAGAAAACAAGGCGTTAGAATCATAAATAATCACAGTACATTAAAAAGAGAGAAGACACAATCCTTCAGTTACACAGATAAACAGAACTATTTGTAACCTGGATTTGAACATCGTCAAAGAAGAAGCCTGTCTCACATTCTCAGGAAGACTTTCCAAAGATTGTAACTGTAGGCTGACAAATCATTAATTGCGGGATTTTGATTGGTTAAAAAGCCCCTTCAACGACAAATCTTGTGTGCAGTCTTGAAGAACATTATTGTGACAACTACTTACTGGTAATGACATTTTCAAAACCTTAGTTCTACTTTGATAATAATCCATTGAATTTACAGTATATAGCATGTTTTGTGACGGTATAATATGTGTAATCTTTTGTTGTCATGGACAGAGCAGAATTGGAGAAACTTTTTCAGAATTTGGTATATTTTGTAGGTTTGCTCTGTATTTTGTTGTCTGCTTTTGTTTTTGTGTTACATGGACTCTTTGTTTGTCTGAATTAAATAAAAATATTTGAATTATACATTTACTCGAGACCGTTTATCTGCACGATCAGCCTCCACCAATTCCACACTCAAACCAGACTCAAACTGCGAGCGTGTTTTGCCTAAGGACACAATGACAATTTGAAACGTACAGCCGTCTCACAGTAGCACCTGGTTTTCCCGTAGTCTTGCATCACGGCACTACACGCCCTGCACGACTCTGCTTCTGAGATTTGACAAGATCAGGATTTGACAAGCAGGCATTACCTTGGCAGTCCTCCGAGATCCAGTTCAGATGAAATGTAAGGCCCTGGACATAAAATCACCCACATTTCCAGCTCCGATGCAAGGTTTAAAAACGCTCTGAAAAAACAAAAGCAAAGCAGGAATCAGCTTACAGGTATTTCCAAACACTGATTGTTCTTCCAAATGAGTCCTCCGTGTATTTGCAATTGTTGCCAAATGCATTATAAGAATGATTGGTGTTTCTGTCATAGTTTCTGTTTTGTGCTGCTTGACTGTATAGGTTAGTGTTGTGAAGATGCTGTTGTTGTCATGTGGGAGTTTGAGGCTGTCTCCTTAGAGAAGTGGTTCTGATCATGGGGAAAACAGTGATATTTCTACTGCATACAGCTCAAAGCGAAAAGCAAAATTCTTACTCCAAATCCAGTTGCGTCTGAAAATTGAAGAGGTGTTTTTGGGGCTGGTGTAGACTCCATGGCACATATCTGAACAAACAAAGTAATTAGGTTTGTAACATGTTTTTTGTTGAACATGGATTGGTAGAATTCATACGTGGTGACTGTGTTGATGCCACACGCCTTCATCTTCAGGAGCCGATCTCTCCAATAGGCCCTTGGAATGCGGAAATAATGTATGGTACCTCCAATGATGCGGAAAGGTTCTCCCTCCAAAGTGAACTGTGATGTGTTTGCGTTCAGCCCCAGTCTTCGGCTCATCCTCCGTCTTCCTGCAGACACGCTGACACTGACAACAAGTGAGTTAGGATTCTTCATTTGTGTCATGTGTGCTCACACAGACCATTGTGCTGCAACTGACCACATGACATCCTTGACAGCAATTTTTAAACTGAACTATAGTGTAGCTTTGAGGCTATATTAAAGATTACATTTACAAGGGAGCTGCTAAATTGTGTTTTCATGCAGCTGAACACATTGATATTGTACATGATAAAAGTTCAGTTATAGGACATATGTATCAAGTCTTGTTCGAAAAATAAATGATAATAAAAAATGAGGACCATTCCCCTAACAATTAACAATTCAAAAGAAAAGTATTATATGATCCTCAAGAAGTTGCATGGAATAAGAAGCAGAAATCCTTGAATAGCGAATAGATCAGTGAATAGATTAATTTAATGTCATAACAATAAAAACATGTTTCCAGTTCAAATATATCTGTTAATTGATAACATATAAGCGACTTACCTGAAATATCTGTACATGATGAAGACAACCAGGCAGAGACAGACAAGTGCATATTTCCTTTTCTGAAAATTTCTGATCCTAAACACAACCATTGATGTTGAGAGACGTCCCTCTCTAGTAAAGCAGTCAACAATGAGTTCATCACTGAGCTGTGCGCTTGCTGCTCAGCTGAATATGCACCGCCTCTTGGGATGCACCCATGGAAATTGAACACACCTTACCTAAACTGTGCTTTCTCTTCATATATCTATTGTATGGGCTTTCTTCTATAGAGTGTTAAGATAAAATCTTACTTTAATAATACTAATAATAATATATTCTTGCACCTGAGTATATCCCAGATGTATCCGTACTTATTGTATTGCAGTTTATATTTCCCGTGGAGTGCTCCTCATTCCTACTGTTCTGTAACTTGAGATGCAACACTGAAGTTTCCCCATAGTGGGATGAATAGGCAAGGCAAGTTTATTTGTATAGCACAATTCACACAAGGCAATTCAAAGGATCTCTTAATCTTAGGCTCCACTTCAATATTGCCATTTTAAAGGACTTAAAGTGAAAAAATAAACCACAATATAATTAACTTGCCTTATGTACTATTATGACATTATTATGACTTCCATAATATTATTTTCAAACAAACTTGGGTTAACTACATTTCCCATGATCCTCCAGTTCGCAGCGCTTGCGCAATCTGTTTTTCCCAGCTCTGGCTGCTGCTTGTGGTGTTTTCTTGTTGTCACGTTAAGGAAAGAAAACCACCTTAAAATAGCAGCATTAAACCCCACAAACCTAACGCATGAGGTAAATATAATACATTGTTTATTTTCTACCGTTTTAGGCGCTTTTACATGTAGTTTGGGAGCTGTCTTTTACACTTAAAGGCTACATGGGAGCTAAGTTTCTTTTTTGGCGTTAGCTAGCAACACAGGCGAGCTAAGACAACAATCCAATATGATTCTTATACTGAAAGCTTATTTTTATCCTTAAAGATTGCGTTTCCCAGGCTCGCAGATGTCTTTGTAGACTGTGTAGAACGTCAAAAGGTTCCTGGTAAACAAAGCACTTGGGCAAAACAGATCCACTAGAACTGAGTCAGCCCACTCACGGGGGCAAACATGTTGTGTTTGTTTTGATCTAACCTCACATACAGAGAAAGTACATGTGTTTCTGTCTGCAGGAACATTTATAGTATTTCAACTGGATAAAGATCCTAATAATGCCTGCAGTGGTGTCTTTACTACCCTTGTGTCCTGCATTGTTCCACCAGGTTGCTGGGTGAGTGCCTTCCTGCCATGAGAGCTGACCCCCAAGTCCTGAGCCCCCCTTCCTTGTGCAGTTGATGGATCTGCAGCTGGCCCGGAGATGACAGACAGCGTCAGGGCTTTCCTCCGCTATGTTGCGACGGTATAGACTTACATGTGTTCTTTGCCAGCAGATATGGAGACTACAGAGCTGCTGATATGACATTACAATGATTTTTGGGACATTATTTATCCTTTACTTGTGTGAAATAATTGGCACTAAGGACAAAACACATTTATATATATATACTTCTAAGTTCTTACATGTGATGAAATACACAACAATGTGGAACCCTGACTACTAATACCATAAAAAACAAAATAAGATAATAATTGTTTGTGGGAAACTATGCTGCTGCATGGAAAGTGTTCTGGATTTTGGAGTTCATGTGACAAATATGCTGCCATGGTGCCTAAATTGTTAACACAAAATGTGTGCATGATTTATCTTCAACGTAAAAATACAAGATATACCAGATAAGACATTGTGTGCTTTTTAAGATAAGTGTTTGACTGGCTGCATTTACTGTTTGCACATAGATACTGTATTTCCATTTGTGATCCATATTATTGATCAGTTAGACAGCTGCAGCTCCAAAGGCTCAGCTTGTCTTGTTGGTATTGTGCTTCTATCAAAACTTAAATTATGAAGATTAAGAGATCCCTTATTCTTCCCACAGTGGGGAAATTTCAGTGTTGCAATACAAGTTTGAGACTGTAGGGATGAGGAGCACACAGCACAAGACAAATGAATAATGACTCTTTACTAAAATGAAATAAAATCTCTAACTCTTGCATAAAAAGAAGCAGTAGAAAAGCTCAGAAGTCTTAAAATAGAAGCAAAACTTAAGTACAAAAACCACTGACTTTAGCATAATAAAGAAGTACAAAATGCTGTATATTCTAGTAAAAGTAATATATAGTTGTATGTTCACATCTGAAAATCCTATGCACTTAAACTGAGGTTGTTTTCAATAATGGCATTTAAAAAAGTTTTTACGACATCTGCTTCTTTCTTCATGTGTCGTTTCAAGGGGATCAAGGACTCCATTCTGGGGATTGGCACCATCTCCAAGCTGGATTCCCGAATTCAGCAGAAAAGAGAAGAGCAGCGGAGGAGAAGGGCCAGTGGGGCATTGGCACAACGGCGGGCTCAGAGTGAAGAGCGGAAACCTGAAAAGTAAGATTGAAAAATTGATAAATACATGAAATGAAATATATGTGTGACACTCGTCTATACACGTGCCACTCACCTGTTCTGAAAATAATTAGTCACTTTACCTGTTATTATTATTACTGCATTATTACATTCATCAGATATTTCTTTCATTCACCAGTCTCTTCACCTGCTGCTATTATTACTATTGTTTATTCTGGTCATATTCTCTGCTGCTAAAGTACTATATACACATCTGCAAATACCTCTGAACCACGTGCAGTTATAGCTCCAGAGTTTTTTATCATCTAATATTGTAAATAATAGATCCTGTTTGTGTGCAATCTGAGTGCTCTTACTTCCTATTCTGTATTCTGCTGTAATGTGCGCAACGATGACATTGAAATTTCCCCACTGTAGGACTAATAAAGGACTATCTTATCTTTTAGTGAACCAAAAGTGGCTAGCAGAATCTTACAGTGTTGTGCCTGGAACGGGGGAGTGTTCTGGGTAAGACTTTGTTTACAATCGGATCTCTCGCATAACTCGTATTGCATTGTAACGTCGCATTCTCTCTGCAGCTCAGTCTGTTTCTCTTCTATCGGGTGTTCATCCCACTGCTGCAAACACTCACTGCAAAAATCATCGGTATGATTCCCCAGATTTTTGCTCCCTTGTGATGAAAACCACCTTTTGAATATTGTGTATGTTCTTCTAGGAGACCCGTCCCTCCATGGCAGTGTGTGGTCCTGGTTGGAGTTCACCCTCACGTCGGTATTCAGTGCTCTTTGGGTCCTCCCCCTGTTTGTCCTCAGCAAGATCGTCAATGCCATTTGGTTCCAGGTTTGTTCTTTTTCCTCATGCATACATCTGTCACATTTATTTTGCCTGATTTAATTGTGTTTTTCTTCTGATGCAGGATATAGCTGATCTGGCCTTCGAGGTGTCTGGCTGTAAAGCTCAGCCTTTTCCCAGTGTTAGTAAGATCATTGCAGACATGCTTTTTAACCTTCTCCTTCAGGCACTGTTTCTTATTCAGGTATGTTTCCAGGCATATGCTTTGAGCTGGATTTGTTTAATAATATTGACATTGTGACTGTGTTTCCCATTCACATCCTGCAGGGTATGATCGTTAGTCTCTTTCCCATTGATGCCATTGGACAAGTAGTCAGTCTGCTGCACATGTCTCTGCTGTACTCCCTCTACTGCTTTGAGTATCGCTGGTTCAATCACGGTAAGTGCTCATCTTTCCAGCTTTAAAACCTTATATTCACTATCTAATGATGGAACGGGGTTTCTTCAAAGGAGTTGAAATGCATCAGCGTCTTTCCAATATTGAAAGAAACTGGCCTTACTACTTTGGTTTTGGTTTGCCCATGGCTCTGCTGACGGCGCTCCCCTCTTCGTACATTATAAGGTTAGATTGAATATCCTCAGATTCAAATACACAAATGTAGATAGTATTGTCAAGGAAATTACTATGTTGACATAATGCTTTCAATACTTGATTTATGCAGCAATGTTATTTGGTGCTCAATCGTTTTATATTGATAATTATATATCTTGTATCATTCTAGTGGCTGCTTGTTCTCCATTCTGTTCCCCTTGTTCATCATCAGCGCAAATGAAGCCAAGACTCCAACACAACTATAGTGAGTTAAAGAGCATCTGAGTTTATTAGAGCCAAAGTTACATGTTAACTTGTGTGGTAATAAGGAAAGGGCAGGTGATCAGAGCCCACTTCCACAGTGAAGGATGCACTAAACCTGTGCCCATCTGCGTTTACCTGCACCTGTAAATGTATTATTGTTGTCAATTACAATGTAACAGCTTCCATTTAAAGAAACTGTACAGCTTTGTGAAACTGAAAACAGTTCATATTAATAATATTATTATTAAAATTTATATAATTGAATGCTTCCCATCACATCCCTATGCAGTTAAATGCATATTTCTGATTGGATTTCAATCTCCAGCACTAGTTTGTGTTTTATATGAGAGAAAGTGTTGTTCCTTAATGCTAATACTTTAATGCTTTGCAGCCACTTCCAGCTGCGTCTCTTCTCCCTTGTTGTGTTGATCAGCAACAAGCTCTTTCACAAAACGGTTCATCTGCAATCGTCCATGACATCGTCTGCCTCCTCAGAACGACTGACGCCCCACACATCCCCGTCCCGCCCCCGCCTCCTGCCCCCCCAGTGACAGATCCGATGAAGGACACAAAGTGCACGCCACTTCACACACTGTGAAAAGAGGTTATGTCTGAAGGATTGTCTGGAAAAGATTGGGTTCTATGTTTTAACCAAACCCAAGGCTCTGGGGAGTTTTATTTACAGCACCCTGCAGGAAAATACAGTGTGACACAACAATTGACTGTTCTGTGCCTCACACTAAAAACACATTATGTGTTTTGTTTTTGACTTTGGTGAACTTTGTTTTTATCTTTTGTATAATGTGCCATTTCAGTGACTCTCCTTTAATAAATTACAGCACAATAAACCTCAGAGGTTGATTATGTTAAAACTAAAACATAACGACACAAAGAGAGTTTTAATTTTGAGGGTTTTCGTTGCAATCATGCATTCAGTATGTGCATTTCAGGATGTGTATGACATTTACAGATGTGAACTTTTTTTCTTGCACATAGCTTGGTTCTCAGTTTCCTCTCGGGGCTAAATCGTTTTCAGTGGAGTTGTATAGAGGACTTCACCCCATAATTCAAAATGTTTGTAAAAAGACAAAGGACCCTTGCATAAATGAGATTAAATATAATGTTAAGTCAAATCAAAAGTTGACACCAGCAGAAGCACATTTTACTGTGTATTGTTCAGAAATGCAATGACACTGCCAAACTTCTGCTCTTTGTTCATTTAACCACTAAATATGTTTAGTGCATTCATTTTGTTATGTTGTTTTGTGGGGAGGAGGGGGTTGAAGAGGGTAACTTTGGAACATGCTCATCTTAGCAGGTGTGAAGCTTGAAAATCCATAGTTTTTAATCAGAATTCCACACAAATTCTTAAACGCACTATGCTTACATCTGTGAGCATTTTATCGTAGTTTGCTGTGGGTTGTTGTAATAAAATTGCAATGGTTGAAGTGACCTCTTGCTACTGAGATTTTTACTGGACAAGACTCAAAATGTGTGAGGACATTTACTATATGCACATGGAGGCGGATTATGTTTGTGAACGTTTGTAAAGCTCCAGTCAGTTTCATTTCAATAAAATACGAGTATTGAAGTTTGTGGTTATTGTGCAAACATGTGAAGTGGACTGGATGAGGGAATTTGGCATCTGATAGTTCAGCAGTGGATAATAAATGAACTTGCCCGGTAAGGACACGTCACTACACCTACGCAGCAAGATACGGAAGTGAGTTTGATGGGCAAACAAGTAACCAATGAAATGCGTCGTCTGTCTGTGCGGGCTGAGATCTGACCAATAAGCGAACAGCATAGAGCAGTGGGGCGGGACTAGAGGACAGTAGTGTTGTATGTGAAAAGTGTATGAAGACGAGAGCAGAGAAGCGGGTGAGTGATCCCAATTATCATAATTTAAAGCCAACAAACGCTGTAATGCAGCATTTTCCGTCATGCAGTTCAGTGAAATCATCCCTAAAATGAGAGTGGGACAGCTGCAAACCCCAATAATGCTATCTGTTAGCGAGGCTAGCTTCATACATCCGCCGGTCTGATGATTATTTGTATATAACGTGGACTTTACTTAACCTGTCAATATAAACCTAATGAAAGCTACTTTGCACTCATTCCACTGACTGTGTGATCTACGATTCAGAAGATTTTTTGCTCAATTCTTGTGGCTTGCTTTTGCGATCCTCCTGCTGTGAATGAGTTGTATAAAACCTTGCACACAAGAATTGGAGCATTGCTTCCTTGCACATTGTTCATATTCTAGGTATAAAACAGCTCTAATTTACGCAAATACAATTTATAGCGTAAATCACTGCTATGTTTTGCCCACGTTGAAGCTTCCTGGTTTCCTGACGCGACTTTAGCTGCGTGGCCTTATCTGGTTGGGCTGGACAAACTATTTACTTTCACCACATAATAGGAAAACGCTCATCTTTTGTTCTGTCTGCTTGTTTATTGTATATAAAATGAATTAAAAAGGGACTCATTTCAATAGGGGACTAAGCTTTTTGTCTCTTTTGTCATCAGGTAGTACGGTGAGCTGTTTTGAACCTCGCCAAAATGACCAAACTGGGCTTCTTACGTTTGTCCTATGAGAAACAGGACACACTGTTAAAGCTGCTCATTCTGTCTATGGCTGCTGTCCTGTGTAAGTTATTTTCTCTTACACGAACTGATCTACTGTATTTACCTCGCTAAAATGTATAAAACGTGTTTTTTTGTTGTCTTGTAGCCTTCTCTACCAGACTTTTCTCTGTGTTAAGATTTGAAAGTGTTATCCATGAGTTTGATCCGTAAGTCACTTTGTTATTTTTCCCATTTATTACTCATGTTATTAATATTATTTAAATGTTTGATTTAATAAGGTATTTCAACTACCGTACCACCCGCTTCCTGACAGAAGAAGGATTTTACCAGTTTCACAACTGGTTTGATGATCGTGCATGGTATCCTCTTGGAAGGATCATTGGTGGAACTATCTATCCAGGTAGAAATCTTCATGTGAAATCCACCAAGATAAATTGGCCAAAACCAAATTCAAAAGCAAATTATTTTGTTGACAGGCTTGATGATCACATCTGCCCTCCTGTACCATGTTCTTCACTTCTTTCACATCACCATTGACATTCGCAACGTTTGCGTCTTCCTGGCTCCTTTGTTTTCCTCATTCACTGCAATTGTCACTTACCATCTGACCAAGGAACTAAAGGTAGGGGTAACAGGACCTTTTCTTAATTGATTCTTTTTAGATATTGACCTGTAATACTCACTCATCTCTGTTTAGGATGCAGGAGCTGGACTTCTTGCAGCGGCCATGATTGCTGTGGTGCCTGGTTACATCTCCCGTTCTGTTGCTGGTTCCTACGATAATGAAGGTAAAAATCAAAAGGAGTTATGAAAGCTACCAGGGTGTGGTGTTAAACTATGCTTCTTTCACACTTCAGGTATCGCCATCTTTTGCATGCTGTTGACCTATTACATGTGGATCAAGGCTGTCAAAACTGGATCCCTGTACTGGTCGTCCATGTGCGCGCTTGCATACTTCTACATGGTGAGCCTCGAGGCGACATCTGTAACCTTTGAGCATTATTGAGCATTAATTTTGTATTTGTTTGTCTGTAGGTTTCGTCGTGGGGTGGCTATGTTTTTCTGATCAACTTGATTCCACTTCACGTCTTGGTTTTGATGCTCACTGGACGATTCTCTCACCGCATCTATGTGGCTTACTGCACCGTGTACTGTCTTGGCACTATTCTGTCCATGCAGATTTCTTTTGTTGGCTTTCAGGTATGACTTGTTTTGTGCATTCGTGTATTTGTTTGCATTTAATATTATTCTCACGCAAATTTTCTTAATCTCTGTAACCAGCCAGTGCAGTCATCAGAGCACATGGCAGCCTTTGGAGTGTTTGGTTTGTGCCAAATTCATGCCTTTGTGGATTATCTGCGCAGTAAACTCAATGCCCAGCAATTTGAGGTGTTGTTCAAGAGCGTCATCTCCCTGGTGGGCTTCATCCTGCTTTCAGCTGGAGCTGTTTTGATGCTGACAGGTTGGAACGTCATGGAACATTATGACTGCTATTCTGGTAGCATCTTTGAACCAGTTGTGCTTAACATCTAATCTTCAGGAAAAATCTCCCCATGGACGGGTCGTTTCTACTCTTTGCTGGATCCATCGTATGCCAAGAACAACATTCCCATCATCGCCTCTGTCTCTGAACATCAGCCAACTACGTGGTCGTCATACTACTTTGACTTGCAATTGTTGGTGTTTATGTTTCCAGGCAAGTTTTACTTAACCCTTGTGCTATCCTTTGGGTCAAAATGACCTGCCACAGAGATGAACAGTAGGAGAAAAATACCCTAAATTAGGTTCTAAAAGATATAGTGCTGGTCAAATTATGAAAAATTCAGCTGGAAAAAAATTATTTATTATTTTTTTGTTCTTTCATCACTGTGGCGAGAGGCGGAGACAGCTAATTTTATTTTCATTGAACTGCCGCAAAGTACATTTTATTTTTAAAGCACAATTTTTATAATCATACCACTGCGTTGTCTGCATTGCATGATATTTTTGTAAAACCTTCTCCAAGGGTTCATTTACAACAGTGGTCCAAAAAGTGTTGTGTGACTACAGGTTTTCATTCCAACCAAGCAGGACTCTACTTATTTCATCAAGTTGCCAGGTTAAGACTAAACTGGTGTGCTGCTGCCTAGTTAGAATAAAAACCTGCACCCACATAGCACTTTCTGGACAAGTCTGAATACCACTGATCTAAAAGATGCTTCCTAAATCTCCTACACTAGCTCTTGTCAACAAAACCAGCATTTTGAGGCTCCTTGATCCATGTAATTTATCTACATAAATGTATTGCTCAATTCAGACTAACAATGTTTCCCTTTCTCTTAGTTGGCCTTTACTACTGTTTCAACAACCTATCGGACGCCAGGATTTTCATCATCATGTACGGAGTGACCAGCATGTACTTCTCAGCCGTCATGGTACCGTCCACTCGATCACAAACTCACTGTAGTGTAGCTATTGTATTTGTGTAGACCACTTCCTGTAGTGCTGTCTTGCTCCTCCCTCAGGTGCGTCTGATGCTGGTGCTCGCTCCAGTCATGTGCATCCTTTCCGGAATTGGGGTGTCCCAGGTTTTGACCACTTACATGAAGAACCTGGACGTAAGCCGCCCAGACAAAAAGTCCAAAAAGCAGCAGGATGCAACCTATCCAATCAAAAACGAGGTATGAGTCTACAATCTCCAGTCATGTATCATTGTCCTTCATCTGTAAATAGTAAATACTGTAATCGTATGTCCACTGAATGTCACTTTATTTACAAATTACCCTGCCAGATACCTATGTAACTTTGCAATATATATATACAGATATATTGAAGCATTTACAGCTAGCTAAGAAACATAGCAGCTATTTATATTGTATATTTTGTGAGCTCCCTGTTTGCTCTTACTACTGTCCTGCATGTGCGCTGCAACATTGAAATTTCCCCCGTGTGACGAATAAATGATCTTTTATTTTATCACTGTGCCTAATCTGAATGAACCTTCCTTGCGTGCATCAGGTTGCCAGTGGTATGATTTTGGTCATGGCCTTCTTCCTCATCACCTATACGTTCCACTCGACCTGGGTCACCAGCGAGGCCTACTCCTCTCCCTCTATCGTCTTGTCGGCCCGCGGAGGAGATGGCAGCCGCATTATCTTTGATGATTTCAGGGAGGCTTACTACTGGCTGCGGCACAACACCCCAGAAGTCGGTTCATTTACACATCACTATACAATGAATCTGCAATTTTGTATTTGATTTTAACATTTCAACAAATTCACAGGATGCTAAAGTCATGTCGTGGTGGGATTATGGCTATCAGATAACTGCTATGGCGAACCGGACCATTCTAGTAGACAACAACACGTGGAACAATACCCATATATCCAGAGTTGGGCAGGTAATTATTTCCACCATGAAAACGGATACATTATAAACTTGGAATAAAAGTATTTCTACCTGGTTTGTCATTAGGCTATGGCATCTACAGAGGAACGAGCATATGAAATTATGAGGGAATTGGATGTCAGCTATGTCTTGGTCATCTTTGGAGGTCTGACTGGTTACTCATCAGATGGTAAGTAAAAAAATAAAAAGTCTCGTTTTGTGTGACTTGGCTTCAGTAACCATGACTCCTCCCTCTGTGATTCAGACATCAACAAGTTTCTTTGGATGGTGCGTATCGGAGGAAGCACCGACACAGGAAAGCACATTAAAGAGCATGATTACTACACTCCCACCGGGGAGTTCAGAGTCGACCGTGAGGGCTCCCCAGTTCTGCTCAACTGCCTCATGTACAAGATGTGCTACTATCGCTTTGGACAGGTCTACACAGAAGCTAGTAAGACTACAAGGAACACTTCACTTTTCACACTATTCAATCCAGGAAAACCGGAATCAAATGCCACCTTTTCTCAACAGAGCGCCCACCTGGTTACGACAGAGTGAGAAATGCTGAGATTGGAAATAAAGACTTTGAGCTGGATGTTTTGGAGGAAGCCTACACTACAGAGCACTGGCTGGTTAGGATATACAAGGTCAGCATCTCTGTCTATTGCACAAAAGATTTTATTTGAATTAAATTAATTGTGTGACGTTTACAGGTGAAAGACTTGGATAACCGCGGCCTCTCGAGGACATAAACATCAGATGTCAACACTTTTTAGCGCACAGCACTGAAAGCCTTCCCCTTTGATCAGCAGATGAATGGAAAATACTTTTTTATACTTTTTAGTTTGGAAAGGAAATGCATTACAGAGATTAGTGTTGTTATTTTGTAATAAATGTCTCGTCTGGGATCAGAGGGAAAAGGTCCAATGTTAATTGGAAATTGTATTTCCATTTCCAAATCAAGTGAAAGAAAGCAGCAATGGCCATTAAAAGTGCTCTGGATTTTTACAATGTGGTGAAATAAAATGTTAAAAAGATTTGACTTCATTCACTGTTTCAGGCATGTATAGTTGTGTACACTTCTGTATAACGTGTACATATTTAATATCAAACTTGTAAATCTCAGAACGAGTCCTTGTTTTACTGGGCTCTACGGTCTTGGCTGATCCGGCAGATCTTCCAGTAGTGCAGGGTTCTTCCTGTAGATGTAAGCATTTGCATCATCATCCAGCTTCACAAGCTCTGCCAGCGATGACACGCAGGGGTCGTGGTCGGCCAGCATCGCTGGTAACCGAGACGACTGACGATGAATACGACTGGATCGACGCACTGGGGTCAGAAATTTGAGGTCTTTGATGTTACTTTTCTTCTTAGACGTGCTGATGCACACATCATCTTCGATCGTCTTCTTGACACTGAAATGTAAATACATTCAGGATTTTGCCACTTATTTCAAACCAAAGAAGTGAATAGGTCGTACCTTTGCAGAAATGGTGTTGTTTTAATACTGTACTTGACGACAGAAGCCTCTTTCATGGGACTAGTGTTCTCCTTCACATAATCATCATCACTTTCCTCGGACTCTTCAATCACATCCTGCTCATCACTGCTACTGCCTTCACTTTTCACAATCTCATCGGCCGTTTCATTCTTTATGTCTTCTTGCTTACATTCATTGTACTCGTCATTGCACTCGTTCATCTGTGGGAGCTCTGAAACAAGATAATGAAGGGTTTAAAAATAACAATATAAATGTTTTATTGTAATTTTAAAAGCTGTAGGAACACTAACTGGGGAAAAGAAGAGGACAAACTTACGATCGTCAGATCTAGAGGGAGGTTCTAAGGCTTCCAGCGCATCACACAAGTTTAGAACAATCTGTAAAATATTAAGACCATTAGAATGTTGAGACTAAAGCAGTAGAATCCAATATATGCAGAATGTTCTCACATCATCAACTCTGTCACTGTCGCTGTCTTGTGGCTGGTCTAAGACTGAGTTCTCTAACAAATCCAGGGTGGTATTCATAATGAGAGATGTTCTTTTGTCCGTCTCCTGGTTGTCTGCAGTGAGGGCAGGTGGAACAGAGGCCTGCTTCACTTCAGCTGCAGATTTGGATCTTGTGGACAGTTGAGATTTAGGTGGAGGAGCAGATTTATAAGACACTTTGCCGTTTGTGGCGGGGGCTGCGGACATGGCTGGTCTTTTGAGAGTCTTCCCCTTTACTGCAAGCCATTCTGCAAGTTTTGCTCTGTTAAAAAGAAGACGCAAATGTAAATTGAACATAAAGACAATGTTTATAATTATCCATGGGGAAAATCACTCACTTTTTCTCCTCTGCAGTTTCACCATGAGTTCTGTATTGACTGATAGTACTTGTGACAGGAGGCTTGCTTGCTTTCTTCACGATCACTGGATCTTTTGGCTTTACTATCATAGTCCCACACCTCCTGCTCTGAGCCACTGTAGCCATTTTGGGGCGTACCGTGGTCGGGACACTTCTGGCTGGAGGACGAGCAGAGTAGAATGTGTTTGGGGGGTGACTGCTGGTGCTGGGCTTGACAGATCTGTTTAAAGTTGAAGCTACAGTCTTTGAGCCACGCCCTACTGCAGATGTTGTCAGATGGCCGGATTTTGGGTATGCTACAGTTGCGGATATTGATTTTTGGTCATCACCTTTAGCAGAAGCACTCGACTTCCAAATAGATCCGATTTTTGACTCTATAATTTTGCCTTTGTACATGCCAGGTGCAGATCTTGGAGGCTGCAAGGCTGTTGGTTTTGGTGGTTCTCCAACTGTGACCTTTGCAGCTTGTTCAATTTTCTTTGAGTCTTGGCTGTGAATCAGTTTTTTGGCAGTTGCAGAGGTTTTCAGTGTTGCAGTCTTTGTGGACGTGTGCTCGTCCATAACCTGCCTTCTTGCACTTTGTTGGGCAGGTACCACTTTGCTTGATTTCACTGACACATATTTTTTATTTGCATACAGCTGGGGGCCAGGAGCAGCTTTTGAGGCGTTCTGTTTAATGAAAGACTTCACCACTTGGGCTGGCTGAACATTCTCTTTGTTTTTCTAAAGAAATAAAATATTAGAATTCAATCAAAAGTAACAAGTGCAATAACAAGTACTTACTTTCTTCAAGATGTTGATCTGTCTCGAAACAGTAGTGCTTTCCATTTTAACAACCTTACCAACAGAGAAACTGGAGGAAGGTAAAGTGGTAAAAGGTTGAAATTTTAACATTTTTACATTTGAATGATTCAATAACATTATAACCTATGTCTAAGGGATACGTCCATGTTTGGATAAGTCAAATTTAAGGTCTTTTGAGAGGGATAATGTAATACCACAGTAATAGTTGTAATATATGGCAACAATACACATTCTTTTATAGTCAAAATTTATTTTTGGACGTCTAAGTAAAAATAATACATACATTCCGAGAGAACGAAAACAAGAAGTGAATTATATCAGTTTTTAAAATAAAGAGTCTAAGCTGCCTGCAGCCTTATAAAGTAGCTTTTATGCGGACAAAAATGTCCTTAAAATAAAGTGTAAACTCACTCTGACGGCGTGTTAACAGGAGAAGTCCTGTCTCTGGATGAAAAGGCAGGAGCACGTCTGTAGAAACAGTCTATGGTAGAAACGGACGGTCATCTGACTTTGGCGCTGTGTGAAACGTTACTGTCATTGGCCCCGTGTTATCGCGAGAGTACAGCCCAGCCCAGTGAGCGAGACTTCCTTTTGAATGTTTGAAAATTGAAACCAAATAGAATTCCTCATGTACTGGTTCTGGTTGGTTTCTAGAGTCGTGTTCGGCGTGTCAGACTGATCCAGCCAGTTCATATCAGCGCTCAAATACAAGCACGCCCTGAACTAGTGACGAGGGACACACCATGTTCTGAATTTACATTTACAAGTCTCAGACAATCGATTTGTTACATAATTGTGCGTTTATTATAATTATTATTTTTCCCAGACCTACTGTATATAACACATTTTGTTAATGCCACTTTGGTTACATGCATAGATTGTAACATGTCATGCAAAAGATACAAATGAGAAAGGTATTTTTGCATACTTTGGATGGGAAAGATTTCCCTACTGATAGATCATGTAAATCTGGATATCCTAAGGCTATGAACGCATATAAGAGTTTGTGCCTGACAAAATATATAATAAACCATAATTTGACAAAAATATATATTTTATTTTGAAGGGTGGGTTCGGGAGGAAAGCGCATAGTAATGGCGCGGAGCTGCTAGCCGAAAACGCAGGAAACAAAACATCTTCTGAGAATAACCAGTGTAATCTAAAACGGTTTGGAGAAAGAAGAAATGTTGGACCACTGCGCTGTCCCAGACTGTACAGGAGGAAAGTCCGACTCTCAGCCATTATTCCGGTTCCCTCTGGACTCGGAAAGGTGCGAAACGAAACGATGCAAAATGCTAGCTATCTGTGACAGAAAACGTGTCTAGTGTTCTTTTGGTGTAATCATATTGTTCAATACTATTTTCCTTAATCATTCAATTTTTCAACAACAACAAAAGTAAAGTACATTTGCATTACCAGATATACCTGTATCGAGCCAAAGTTGTATTGGCCACAGTCATTTACTGTGTTGTTTCTTTTTGTGGGGAAATATTCTGTATTTATCATTTCACTGCAGGTGCCAGCAATGGGTCGAAAAATGCCAGCGGGAAGATCTACTTCAGAAACCTGCAGAGCAACTATACAAATATGAAAGAATTTGTGGGAAACACTTTGAACCATCAGTCCTTGAAAATGTAAGTTACTTTGTGAGTTACTAAGTACACATACATGGCATAGAAATTCACACGCAAATCTGTCCCACATGTTTTAGGTAGTGCTGAAGGATGATGCTATTCCCACCATTTTCGAATCATCAGCAACCAGCCAGGGGAAGAGGAAAGTTGATGTAAGTAGAAAATATTTGATAAAAATGATTTAAACTTGTGTGCAACATCATGCCTTTATTTTCAAGGTAAAAGCAAATGAAAAGGAGCTCAAGGGAAGAAAGAGTATGTTAGAACCTTCAGCTGATCATTTTGATAATCTTCTACGTCAAACATTAGAATAATAATGTTGCATATTTTCTTACAGAGCTGAAAGAGCCTGAGCCCCAACCCGCCAACGATACACAGCCGGTGCCAGAAGAAGACCCGGATAGAGAGTACCTCAAGTCTCTATTTGAAATTGTTTTGCTGTTAGGAGGACGTAATATTTCTCTCAAAGACCAAGGACAGGACTATGAGAACAGTCCAAGTCTTAACAACTTTCATGCTCTTCTAGATTGTTGCATTCAACATGGACATGAAACTTTCAGGAAAAAGTGGGAGGAAAATAAGAAAAGGTTTTCGAATGAGCTCGATAACATGATTGAAGCCTGTGAAAGGTGTATTCGTGGCAAACTTGTGGAGGAGATCTTGGAAAATGGTCCATTCTCATTAGTAACTGATGAGTTGGTCATGATCTCAGGAGAATTGTTCCTGCCGGTTTTTGTCCGCTTTGTGGATCAGTCAAACTGCCAGCAGGAAACTTTTCTTGGATTGGTAGCCTTCAGTGGAGATGAGGATGACTTGGCTGAAAATACTCTGGTCGAAATAACTGAAAAATGGGGTTTGAAAATGGAACAATGCAAAGGCCAAGCCCACTCCTGCTCAGGAGCACATGCTTGCAAAATTAAAAAGTTTGCTGCAAAAATAACTGAAACATTTCCTGCTGCAGTACTTACAATAAGATCAACTCAATCTGTTAACATCCTACTTGCTAATAGTTTGCCTTTGTCTGGGGTCCAGCTTGTCATGTCTACCCTTAAGAAGATCGAGGCTTTCTTTTGTCGTTCTCCTTTGTTGCTTGTAGAGTTTAAGCAGGCGATCTCCTTATTTTATGAAGACAGGCCAGAGAAAGTAAATACATTACACAGCATTTGTGAAACCAAGTGGACAAGTGGCCACAATGTTTTCGAGGTTGGGGTTGAAATATACGAGTCTCTGCTGCTTTGGTTAGACAGTGTGAATGACAATGAAGATGTAAGGTGGAGTGACCAGATAGCTCATGAAGCCATGGTGATATCAAAAGCGTTGACTGATTTTGAGTTTCTCATGACATTGATAGTGCTGAAAAATATAACTGCTCTTACTCAGGCCTTTGCCAAGAATATGCTAGGGGATGCAGTTGATATCAGCAGTGCAGCAAACTCTCTTCCAGCAGTGTTACAATCGATGAAGGAGGTGGCAGATAACATTGATGTGTACCATGAATTCTGGTATGAAGAAGCCAACAGTATTGCAGCTGCAGTGGACGTCATAGTAAAGGTTCCGCGGTCTTTTCTGAGAAAACATTCGGAATCGGTTGCAGTTCAACAAGATAATTACTACAAGGAGTATGTGTCTTTTGCTGTGGTGAATGGCTTGTACAAAGAGTTGAGTGAGGTATTTGGTGAGAATGCTTTGAAAATACTTAAAAGTTTGGCAGTAGTTCCGGCTGCTGTTGAGCAAATTAAATCTGCCAAACCAGATGAGGATTTAGTGCAGATCTTTAAGAATAACATTCCTAATGCAGACACCTTCTCTGCTGAGTTCAACTGTTGGTGGGTCAAATGGAGTAAAAAAAGCAAACAGGAATGTTTTCCCTCAAATGTCCAAGACACACTCAAGCTGGCTGACATGAAATTCTTTCCAAACATGTTGTCGGTCTTCAGACTTCTTGCCATCATACCTTGTTTCTCGCTTGATAATTCCAGCAGTGTGGCGTACAAGCGCTTCACCAGGTACATGGAGGATGTTCCTGATAAAATGAAATCAAAAAGCATTGCTTTTATGAATGTCAATTCTCATGTCCAGTGTTATCTGGATTCATTAGTTGAACAATATGTCAAAAATGTTTCTAAATAAAAAAAATTGATCGATGGTGCCCTTGTTTGAAAGTTAGTTACAATAAACATAAAAAAATCATACTCTGACTATTGTTTTCTGTACTGTACTGCTTAATATATGAATTTGCTTACATTATACTTCTCAATAAAACTGATCCCAAAGTATTCATTCATCAAGATAATTACAATCTTCCAAAGTAAAGGAGGAACACAAAAAACATAAATAGCTACTATTTGCGTTATTACGTGTAAGGTTAATAGCAAAGAAAGTGCACTTAGTGTTTAGCAGCCACTGTAGCATCCAGCGACATGTCGCACCCCTCCCCCTTGTGGCCAACACCTTGCACTGCAGTTCCTGGTTCTACACATCTCACGCGTTTGCTTCGCTCTTGTAAGCGCCTAATAGCAACTTTGGAAGCATGGATATAAACGACTTTTAGTTTTATCCATACATCTTCTAACGAGAGAAACGTTGATACTGATCTTGCTTCTTGCAGGTTCAGATTAAAGCATGACTCTATTTTAGCGACACATGTGTTTTTTGTACTGTAGGATTTTCAGTTTGCAACCACCAGCAAAGCTAGCTAACGCTAACTCGTTAGCTGGCTTCATTGCAAACCAAAATGACTGACTGCTGCGCTGCAGCCAACTGTGGCTATCGCCGAGGAGAGGGCCAGGACACCCCGCTCTTTAGTTTCCCCCTGGACACTGATCGGTACGTGTTGTGCTTATACAAAGAAACTGTATTACATCATTTACACACTGGTTAAACACAATTGTAGTAGCTTCATATTAGCACAGATACTAGCATCAGCATGTTGGCTAGTATCATTCGGACTGTAGTCGAAAATGGCGCATTTTGTATTACTCTTTTTAAAAGTCCACAAGCGCATTTTAATTGTGATTTGTGGTTCTAGACAAGAGACAATCACGTTTTAATGCTCTTGTCCTAGTCTTCCCAGATTTTCGTACATTATGTTTTTTCCCTCAAAGTGCTAACTTTAGCGTTGTTTCCATTTCAGTGCGACACCTACAGTCATAATGTGTGCATTCATTTGTTAACCATCAGGTCCAAATGACACTTTAATTACTTCCTCATAATAATCTCGGATCAATCACATTTAAAATCTTTATTAAAATTAAAGGCGTTACACCACGCGTCATCATTGTTTTTACCACGTGTATTGTTATTTATGTTCATTTTTGTTTTGTTTTTGTGTCTTCAGCTGTAATCTATGGTTGACAAATTGCCATCGCCAAGATTTGGCATCAGAGCCGCCAGACCACCTGCACAAGACTTTCAAACTCTGTGCAAAGCACTTTGAGCCTGCAATGATCTCTCATCAGGTATGATTCGTCTCAATCATACAAATGATTAAAAATTATGGTTGTCAACAATATTATATAATTACATTAAAAAAAGACTTGTGTAGTTTGAAGATGATATTGTTCTTTATCAGAGCTTGAAATAGTTATTGACACTACTATTCAGTAGTATTGACATGCATGTACATCATAAATGTTGGTAAACCTGACAGATAGATGTGTGTGTATATATATATATATATATATATATATATTATATATATATATATATTCCATCATATATCTCGATTAAACATGGGAAGCATGTGTTTTTGTGTATATTTGTCGGAAGATTACTTCTGGCCTTTTGTAAGATAACCATAATATACAATTACATTTTCTTATTTTGCTAAATCCATACACAAATAGAGAAATATTCACAATTTCATAGATGTCCAAACTACAGATATATGTGGCAATTATTACCTCACCATCAATTGTTAAAATAATGTTTTAAATTCTTAGGATGATTCTTCAATTGTACTAAACGAAGATGCTGTTCCAACTATATTTGACCTCACTGTGCCAGTCAACAGAAAGCGGGCTGGAGACCAGGTAAGTTGCATTAAATGTTTATTTTAAGACAATTTTACAAAAGTGTAATTGTATTGCCTGTGTCTGCCAGTCTGAAGAGGACCAAACCTCTAAAAAGAAATCAAGAGGTGGGAGGTTTTCTAATACAATATTTTAACAGTGATGTAATTAATATTTGTGTGCAATATTGAACACATGTTTTATTTTTAGAAATTGCTGAGACACCCGATGGAAGTGATATAAACAGTTCAATACTTGATCTTGACCAAAATGAAACTCTGACGCAGGAAGATGTAGCCACCTGTAAAGCAAAAGATACTCTAAAAGCATATTTTAAAGAAATCTTGGCGCTCACCGGATTCAGCATAAATGGTGCTAACACCACAGAAGATCCTATTGGAAGTGCAAGGGGTCAGCAGGCTCTTAATCGTATCTGTGTGGAGAAGATTGACAAAAAAGAAATCTTGCAGTTTAGTGAAGACTTGATGCGTGAAGAAATCCAAAACAGTCTTCACTTAGCTCGCTTTTTCTCTATTCTTATTCAGGAAGTGACCATTATAGAAGGGAAGGAGCAGTTTCCTGTCTATATTCGCTCTGTCAAAGTAGCAGGCTTGCCACAGAACCACCTCATTGGCTTTTTTCCCTGTGATGTAGATGCAGAGAATCTTTTTTATCTTCTAATCTCAGAGCTGAGAAACAAATGGGGCCTGAGGATGGAGCATTGCAGAGGAATAAGTTATCTCGTCAAAGGAAAAATGTGTCAACTAATCAGAGATCTTACCTGCAGAATACTCCAGGAATTTCCACAGGTCGTTCTCTCACCTAGTGAGCCCTATGCTTTTAACATTTGGATTATCCGATGCATGCCAGTGGCCTCTATTCAAAATGTGGCTGACACAGTGGAGCAAGTTGCCTCGTTACTCAGAAGAACGCCAGAGCTATACAAGAGACTGGAAGGAAAGATTCAAATGACATATGGGCATCTGAAAGGTGAAGTGGAGAGAATCAAGACGTGTTTAAGTAGTAACTGGGAATTTGGCACTGATGCTTTCTTAACTATGCTGGATATCCTTGAACCATTCCTCAACTGCATCAATGAAATCATTTCAAAGGTAGATGAAAACACTGCTGAACAAATGGCCATGCTCAAACCAATCCTGAAGAATTTTAATTTTATCATCACTCTTGTTGTTCTGAAAAACACACTTTGTTGTGTGAGCATATTGAACTCCAGCCTCAGGGGGATCATCAGCGTCAGCAGTACTCTTCAGTACAGCATTTCTAATGCTTTGAAGCTGCTAAGCAAATACCAACATGAGCTAGCTATATTGCATAGAAAATGGTTTGCGGATGCTGTTGGAAGAGCAAAGAAACTTGGTGTAGAAATCACCAAACCTGAGGCAGACCCAGACAATGTTGCTGAGACCCCACTTGAAGACCTGTACAGAGAAATTCTAAGCAGGCCCATCCTACAGTATCTAGTTTTGGAGGTGAAGAGAGTTTTGGGCATAGAAATGGTTCGCATTCTCCGATGGCTGTCGTTAGTTCCATCTTATATGGCTGACCATAATTTCAGCATACGCAGAGATAAAGTGGCAGATGCTAATCTGAACAACCTTGCGAGGCCAGATACTTTCTATGAAGAACTGGGTTGTTGGGAAGTTAAGTGGAGACATGCAAGCAAGCGTAGAATCCTTCCCACTACCGTGTTTGCCACACTTAAGATCCCTGACATCGGCTTCTATCCAAACGTCCAGAATCTGCTCAGGGTGTTGGGTACTGTCCCATGTGTAAATACTGAAGCAGATGTTTACGGCCAATACCACATGGTGCAGGAGAGGTGCCAAGTCTACCTGCAAACTACACCAGAGGCCCAAAGACATTGCAGCAAAGCATTCATCTATGTGAACCAAGACGTGCAGTTCAATGCAGAGAAAATGGTAGATGTGTTTGTTCAAAAGCATCCGGACATCCTGCAGCTGCTGCAAATGGTGGGTTATTTTATTATTTTAATAGTTTATGTATCTGGGTTTGTGCTTAATCTATATTGTTTCTGTATTCTAATGTAGGATGACGATGCAAAAGAAAAGATTCTACCTGGTAAGACATTAACTAGGCCAAGCATGAACCAGATTCCTTCCAAAGCCACCTTATATTATAGTTTATGCCTCGCCATATTGACCTGATGATTTGTCTAATTTGTGTATTGTGTTCCCACTTGGGGCAGACCCTGTCCATATTTTTTTGGTATTTTTCAAAATGATTGTGTAGTTTTGTTCCTGGCTTTGATCTCCATAATATATTTTAAAGACTTTTTTTTTTTTTTTTTTACTTCACTCACTTCATGAGTAAGTGAAGTAAAATTTCATTCTAAACTAAAATTCCAATCCCAACCGTCCTCAGAATAATATAATGGGATTAGTCCTGTGCTCAGTCTAAATGATTAATCTTTTAGTAATTGGCTTTTTACAACTGTTGTTTCTTGTTTGTTTTTCTGGCAGTTGAAAACCAGGTAAACCATGCTGAAAAAGACACAGAGGAGGAATTGAAGATCATTAACCTGGAGATGGATGCTGATAGACTTGTGGAGATGAAGTGTGCGGAGACTGACCGGGAAGCTCTGAAGTCTGCTCTGCAGTCTGCAGTGGTGGTCGCGTACAGCAGCCAAAACGGAGACCACCCAGAGGCCCCCCCTGCTCTGCAAGGAGAGACTGAATATGTCACAAAGTCAGAAATGCACGAAGTTCTTGTGGTCTGTGAAAATGCCGTCAGAGAAGGGATCCTCATGGAAGTTGGAAGTTCATTCTTTTCCTTGTTTATTGACAGAGTGGTGAAAATGGGTGAAAACGATTACCTGCCACTTTTTCTGAGGTTTGTGGATAGCTTTGATGTCATGCGATTAGAACTGTTGGGATTTCTTGATGCAAGTCTTTCTTGTGAGGCCTTGGTTAAAAGTTTATTTGAAATTGTTACGGTTAAGTGGCGTCTTGACTTAAAAAACTGCAGAGGTCAAGCCTACTTGGGCTCAGGTGATGTTTCCTTTAAATTGAAGGCTTTTGCATGTAAAATACAAGAGAAGTATCCACTTGCAATAAGCACACACTGTTCATCATACTCGTTTAACATGTGGTGGTCCAAATCCATCCCGGTGCCAGCCATTACCAGAGCATTGGAGATAGTTGAACAGGTTATGTTGTTTTTTGCTAGTAGTGACGTTCTAGAAAAACAATTTGATCACGTCATTGCCAAAGGTCTCAGAGAGAGCTATGAGAAGGTTCAAGAGTTGCAAGGAAATTTCTGTTGTGTTTGGCAGGAGAAGCATGATTCTTACGAGATGTTTGTTCAGATGCTGGAGCCCCTAGTTGAATGTTTAGGTAAAATAAAAAACAACACGCAGAGGTGGAAGGCCTTGTCAGAACAGGCATTGGCACTCCTGCAGAAGATGATGGACTTTGACTTTATCATGGCCATGGTTGTGTTAAAGAATACATCATCTTTCACTAAAGACCTGAGTGCTGGTCTTCAAAAGGACCATTTGAGTGCTGCCTCCCAACTCTGCCACATCGGTGGTATTGTGGCTACACTTAACAGAGTAAAAACCAATATCAAAGTGTTTCATCAGAACTGGTTTGATGAGGCCAGTGCAATTGCCCAAAGTCTGCGAGTGCAAATTGAAGTGCCTGAAACCTCTTTGCAAAGAGATGGAATGATGAAGCCAGTTGGTTTCTATAAAGATAGTTTGAGTGTGCCGCTGGTAGATAATCTTATTAGTGCTGTAAAGGACTATTTTTCAGACCACCACAAAGAAGCTCTGAATTTTCTCTCCCTGGTACCGAGTTCAGTCACAAAGAGTTACATGTTTGAAAGCTTAAAGTCCAAACTTCCGCTGTACAGTAGTGATCTTCCTGACGCAGACAATTTCTTCACTGAGCTGTGCTGTTGGAGAGTGACATGGAAGACCAAAGCGTCAGTCACGACTCCAGGCTCCTTGTTCCAGACTTTACGTTTGCCATTAATGCAATACTTTGGCAACATCAATATGCTGTTGAAGATTATGTCCGTGCTACCGAGTACAGCTCTGGAGGACTGTGGGGTTGTGATGCGCCACAAGAGGTTTCTGGAATACCTGAGGACAACGGACCCCGCGGACAGATCCCCATGCCTCGCACTCCTCCAAGTGAGCTCAGACTTCAGCCGAGACCTGGATCGCATGGTTACCCAGTGTCTAAAGTCTACACCTCAGGCTTTAGAGGGCATCTGTTTGGTGAGTGTATGATGCATGTACAAACTTTCGATCATATTTTTCTGAGTAAGTGACTTTATGCTTATGTTTTTAAGGAGAGGGAGTCAAAGTGCTTCAACAAAAACATTGACGTTAAAACAGATGGTAAGGCAATGCATTCCATTTCAAAGTTAAATATTTATTCCGATGTGTGTTGTCATTTCTGTCTGTGTTTTTCCTGTGCTTTAGTTGAAGTTGTAAAAGTGGAACCAGATGAAATGCATCTTGATCAGCTTGTCAACAAGCCTGAAGATCAGGAAATGAAAGCTGCCGAGGAGAATGGTCACAGTGGAGATAATTGTCAAAGTCTTCAAATAGTTTTCAAATTGGCTGCAGCATTGGGGAAGAAGAACTGTAGTCTATCAGATATTTCTGAGGAGCATTGTGAACTTATTCTTCAGGAGCTATCCATGTGTCACTGGTTTGAAAGTGAAAAAAAATGTAGTATTGGTGAGGCCCAAATGAGTACACTTGTCATCAAAGGCATTCGAGATTTTATACTTAAAGAAATACAGGACTCTCCATTCTTCTCACTGATTATTGACAAGCCAGTCCATATTGATGACAAGGTATACTTGCCTGTCTTTGTGAGGTATGTGAGAGAATCTGTGCCAAAAGTAGAGTTGATGGGATTCTTGCCATTTAATGTTAACTGTGGTGTGGAGACTCAGGCACACAACTTGGCTAATGTTCTTTGTGAGGACTGGGGGCTGAACATGGCTCAGTGTCGTGGACAAGCTTTCATGAATCGTGACGCAGGCTTCCAGAGTCTAAAAAAGATGTCCTTAGATTTCCTCCAAAACTACCCACTTGCTGTTGTCACACCAAGCGAGTCTTGCGGCCTTAGTCACTGGCTGGTGCAAAGTGTGCCTTGTCCTTCAGTAGCTAAGACACTGAATGTGGCTGAAGACCTTTTGCTGTATTTTGATTCATATCCTGGGCTGGAGAAACAGTTGGTACAGGCAGTGGATGGGCTGCTCAACATGCCCAGAGAGGCGTTGGAGGAAAGCCCTGAAACGTGCTACTCAAGGTGGAGAAAAAGGGAGGACTTCTTTGACGTACTAACAGAAACATTGGAGGGCATTCTTAGCTGTCTAGATGCAGTTGGTTCTGCTGATGCTGGATCCAAATCAATGCATGCACAGGCACTCTCCACTGCATTGAGAAATGTAGATTTCATCATCTCCCTGGTGATCATAAAAAATGCCTGTGCTCCACTTTGCAATTGCAGTACCGTATTTCGGTGTGGAAATCCTGCAGATATTCTCTGCGAGGTGGAAAAAATCCCCTCGATAATTGACACATTAGGTAAAACATTAGTAAACATCACCAGTGTGCACCATGCTTGGTTTGAGCAGGCATTTACACTAGCAACTAAAATTGCTCCTGAGCAATTGTGCTTTTCTGAGGAGGTAAACAACTATGAATCTCCAGAAGTTTTTTATAGGGAGAATCTTAGTATTCCCCTCCTTACAAGTCTGATTGATGGAATGAAATACAACTTCTCCGATGAACATCTGAAATCTCTATCAGTCTTGTCTTTGCTGCCCTCATGCAACCCACAGCCCATTCTGGCAGGGTCCACAAACCATCCATTCAGCCTGTTTGTCAGAGGACTTCCCGAGCCAGAAGCAGCAGAACATGAGATCGATGCCTGGTCTGCTGTTTGGAGAGAGAAGTATCAGGATATTGCCCCTCCAACATCTATCGCTGAAACACTATCTCATGTAGAATCCCAAAACCATCCCACTGTGACCCTCCTGCTCAGGCAAGTTGCTGTTCTGCCCAGTGTCAGTATGGAATTTGACCTGATGAAGACCACTCTGAACTCTATTCGAGAAGTCTTTACAAACACAGTCTGCAAAGGCAGCAAAGTCGATCACATGATGCTCCTCTCTCATGCCGCAACGTTGCAGAGACTTCCGGAGCTGATCGAAAAGTGTGTAGAACTCAACCCTGAGAGTCAACCGTGTCTTTCAAAGGTAATTTTTTATGTATTATTGTATTACCGGTTTTCTTAAGGCGAATTCAGAACGCCTTCACTGTTTTTGACAAATAGTTTGACACCAAACGCAATAAGTTAAATTTGACCAAATAATATAAAAAATAACTTGTTTATTGAATTTGACGCAAAATGTTTCCCTTTTTTTAGCAATGGAGGGTGTGAGTTTAAAGGAGCTATACCCGTTTCTGCAAGGTTTGAATGTTTAGCACCGCCCCTCAACTTGCTCACAGGCTTCTCATTTCCCCTACGCTCTCATTCCACGGAGCCATTTAGTTTTATTTGCGATCTATATGCAAACATTAGCATGAGCGCAACTTCTTGTAAGCTGTGTACAACAATCACTGATGAAATGGTACAAAAGCAACTCACTGCTAACAATATATATAACTGAAACTGAAAGATTACCTGCAGTTCCGCTTCCGAATGTAGTCCAAGCATAGAAAGTCTGAGGCGGCCCCGTAGGTCTCTCCCATAGACAATCCTCTATCCAGAGTATACGATGTAAGCTAGCTATGTTCACCCGGGCTTGATTTCTTTGATCATTTTTTCGCTTTAGTTCCCTCTTCTCTTCCTCACTGTTGTCGTTTTGGCTGTTTTGCTGTGTATGCAGTTACAGCAAGAGGAGTTATAGCCAATTCTGCTGACATGCTACTGTGTTTAGCAGCGCTGTAGAGGCTATAGAGGACGCAGCCTCGTTCTGAGTGGAGGAGAGTGGGCGTCACGCTAAGTCTCTACTCGGCACTTTTTATGGCCTGAATTCATACACAAGCTGAATCAATGAGCTCAAGTTTTCAATTAAATTACGGATTATAATACAACTTGTATGTAGTAATAATCATTTTTTGAACTCGTTAAAAAAAATCGGGTATAGCATCTTTAAGTCCCACATATTTTGGGGATTCCTGGTTTAGTTATTTAAGTCAAGTTGTAATTGTTCTTTGTTTTTAGGTCATGTCAACAATACCGAAGCTTCATGTGGAAAGCGGCAAGTATTTCAATATGCCGGTAGTGCATGACCATACTATATTGTTGTTTCCTATTTTTAAAATGCTATTTTCCCCCCCCCCCCCCCCATTGGTATAGACATTGTTCAAATGGAGATTGTGATGGAAGAAATAAATTGCCTCATTGCACCGGTGGAGCCGCTATCTGATACAAAGCCCACTGAAGACCCAAGGAATGCAGTGTCTTTCTATGACCCTCAACAACGTGAACAAATCTGCAAAGAACTGGAGGACTGTCAGTTCTTCACTGTTATAACAGAGGAAGAAGTTGACATAGAGGGTAACCTGTATATTCCCCTGTGTGTCAGATATCTGAATAAGGATATTCAGTGTGAAGAAACTTTAGCTTTCATCCCTTTCACTGAAGACGTGCTTAGCCTTGCAGAGACTGTTGAGAAGACATTGTGTGAGAAATGGGGGCTCAACATGGAGTTTTGTAGAGGTCAAGCAATGCTTAGTGTTGGGAGAGTAGGTGCACAGATGAGTGCTGTTTGTTTGGCCCTTTCTGAAAAGTACCCGAAGGCTGTAAGAACAATCAGTTCAGCCCTATCTCTCAATGTGTGGTTGGCAAAATCTTGTCCTTTAACAGAAATGGCCAATTGTGCTGTTTTGACACATAAGATATTACGCTGGGTCACAGACGATGTCGAGCGCCAGAACAGACTAGAGAACACGATCTTGCATATGTTTTGCCATGATGAAGGCAAGGCTAATGAGCTTAGGGACAAACTTGTGAAAAACTGGGAGATTAGTCACGATATGAATCAGGTGATGGTGGAAGTTTTAGAAGCAGTTGTGCTTTGTTTGAATGAGCTAAAGGGTCAGGGAATAGCACCTGAGAATCTGCAAGCTACAGAGTTCTTCAACGCAATCCGAAACTTTGACTTTATCTTTGGGGCAGTAGTGCAGAAAAATGTCCTGAAAGCATCCAACAAGATGAGTGAGGGACTGCTGGGCAAGCCTTTAGATGTTTTACTTGCTGTGAACAGTTTGCCTGATCTTAAATCTCAGCTTGGACAGTTGTTGGATGATGTAGACTCTCATCACAAGGCCTGGTTTGAAGAAGCTGTTGCATTGGCTTCCAAACTGAATGTTACTTTATTTCATTCGGCCCTTTTAGAGTCTCTAAGTGAGTTTTACAAACAGTCAGTGAGCAAGAAGGTTATCGAGCATTCAATAATGGAAATTGAGGCAGTCTTTACAGAAAAAGTAACCGAAATCTTGAGGTGTCTAGAGATTGTGCCTTATGCAATGTCCAAAGTAGAAACCAGCGTTCTGAGTGATCTTGTCTGTCAACTGTACAAGGAGGATTTGCCAGAGGAAGCCTCCCTCCACAATGAGATGAAGCAGTGGAAGAACAAATGGTTGGACCCTTTGGCAGGTTATCTCCCAACTACTGTGCTTGCTGCCCTCCAGACATCAAAGATCAAAAGCTTTGTCAACATAGAGACTCTTCTCAGACTGCAGCTCATTTTGCCATTTTCAAGAAGGGAAAGCACCTTCAGACAGGGAAACAGAAGTCTACAAGAGTTTCTTCAGCAAGACAAAAGGTTGCTTAGTGAGCTTCATCCTTTGGAATAAGTGCAGGTCTTCCAATGCATAACAAATAAGATGTCATTTTCCCTTCATTAATAACATCTAATTTTATCATGGAGCTGTGATCATCATGACTATGTACATTTTCTCATTTAAGTTTGTCATTTTAAGTGCACATTTCTTATCTTATGTTGTTTATTGTCTCATAGTTGGTACTGTTCAATGGGACCAATTTTTCTGCAAACAATCCTCCCCTGGCAGTTGTCAATGCTTCAGTGCCTTGATGCAGACACTCATTATATCCTTTAACATTTGATTATAACAAAATGTCCCATTGGTATTATCATTACCTAAAACAGACCAACAAGATTATGCCCAATTGTGAATTATTCTTCACTTGCATATACTTATGTTTCCCCTGAATTTGCAGCAGTAAATTTGCTGTTAATGTATCTTTTAAAGATTATGTTTCCAATATAGGGAATCCTCATATATATATTTGTCAAAAAAATAATAATAAAATGCACAAAAACTCGTTTTCAATGCTTTATCAACACTAGATGGCGCACTTTGGCCATGGTGGGTTTGGTAGTTCTGCGTGTGTGTGTTTTCAGAAAATTGCTGGACAACTGATGGGTACACAAATGTTTGAAAACCTTAATGATAATTTTGATTTCCATTATTTGAATATCTGCGTTGCTACAATTCATTATAGTTTCTGGCCAAATACTGTAATTTCATGGTTTGATTAGAGCTAATACAATTGTAAATGTGATTTTGAGTTAATAAAATTCTAATTGTTTGTAGCCAAGGGTAGACTTGTCAATAATTTCCAATGTGTTACCACTGCTAATATGTAACTAATACCACTCCTAAATTATTAATACAATTATTTGGTTAATTGATTATTTATATCACAAGTTGTGAGGACAAAAAACCCAGAATTCTCTAATTGAAATTATAAATACACTACTACTACTGTAGTCACAGAAGTGAGACAACACATCTGTGCCATCGGCCCCTCTGACTACCACCAATCATTAATTCAAATACCAGACAACTTTACAGCCGCAGCTGCCCCACTGCAGCACTTGCTGTTCCCAGAGGACTCCCATCTTAGTACCAGGCCTACCAGGATCAGGCTTTCACATGCAGGTGGCACCACTACATTAAGGTTGAAGTAAGGATATCTTAAAACCACACAACAAAAAATCATGTAACTACTTCCTGGCTCTAAAACAGTTTTCACATTCATGTATTTTTGGACTCTTTATCGCATCTTTAGATCAGCTTTTTAGGACCGATCTCCCCTACTCAGATCACTTTCTTACAAGAATGCACAAGATAAAATAATTTCAACAACAAAAAATCTGCATTGTTCACAAAATGTCACTTTAACAAGACTTGAATTGTATTATTTATGAAGGAGAGAAGACAGGTACCCCAGCTTTAATCAGATTTGTCACAATTATCAGAACAATATAGTTTGATAATATGACATCCCCAGTCCTGTCCTCTCTGACTGATCTTCAACCTCAAGTGTGGTGTTTCTGACTGAGTTGTAGCAGCAGATGCTTGACTCACAAAGCCCTGATTGTTGAACTCAGATTGAGAGACACGACCCCATGTCCCCATACAGCTGCTGCAGTGGAGGCCACTGCTCTACTGTTGCGAGAACGAGAGCAGCATGTGCAGAAACATACCAGCATGGTCCCATGTGCCCTTGTCTATGCCATTTTAAATAAGTAAGCAATGTTTATTTATTTTTTTATAGCACCTTTCACAGTCCAGAGGCACAAAGCGCTTTACAGTTGTGGGCTTTGGTCCTCTCTCTCCACATAGAGATGGGAGAAGGGTCTTGTAAGAAGACCTTTACTTATTATTTCAACTGCGATTTTTGCCGTTGAAATCCTTGGTGTATTGAGTGCAAGGATATTTAGGTTCACATCCCCTGTCTCAAAAGCAAAACAACGCATAGCTATAATTGACCTGTGCACTTGGTTTCCTGGTGGAAGTCAAGGTTGTGCACTGATGTAAGACCCACAGCACTCGGTAATCAAGGCCATGCACAGCAAGGATTTAACTATCCTCTGGAGAGGAAGACACAGGGTTTAAGTGGATTTTATTTCAAGGTTCTCTTTCAGAGAACATAATGTATGTTGCCATAATTTCATTGGCAACATAATGTAGAATTCTAAAGACTCGTAAGTACAACAAATTTAATTTTTTTTGTAGAATTATTACAATTTGAGCTCGAGTACTTTAAAACACTTTGTACCTGCCAATGAAGTGGAGGTTTTGATGTGAGTGTTGGCTGGGGGAGCTGCTTGGAGTTTCATAACTACCTATTTTTCTTTTTATTTCTTTTTTTTTTTATCTTTTTATAATATATACAGCAAAGTTTTTCCATGATAAAGATAAAATGGCCAGGACTCAAACCAGAAGATGTTCTTGATAGACAGTAATATTATTTAGAGTAAGCCACAAATCACATAAGTAAAACCTCTTATTAAAACATTTGCTTTGTATTTTATCCATGCCAACATTCCTCCCAAAAGATAATCTGAATCTAAATTTAAGAAAGCACAAGTTTGGCATGGTACTGGCAATCTTGCGTTATTCATACTGGCATAATAGATTTTTTTTGTAGATTATGCAGCTGCCGATAGGGATTTCATTATATTAAAACTGAGCTTTAATCATATTTCAAGATGCGCTGGTTCTTTCAAGCCTCATCCAACCACAGAGGACCAACTCATAGAAAACACATGTATGTGCACAATTTATCTATTGTAATGTTTCAGAGGTCATGGCACGGACTATTCCAATGCCTTTGATAGTATTTATCATCCTTCGATCTTGTGTTTACTGAGAGCGGCAAGCCGAAAGTTGCGTGTGAGATCAGTGGCCTGGACTTGGCTGGAGCTGTCCGCCTCACGCCCCCATGGCCTCATCACCGCTGCCTCCTCACCAACACCTCCTTAGACGTTTGTCGTACACTTTCGTTCCCCTTGTGATAAAGGACCCGTGTGGAGACAGCGCCGGCTCACCACCCACAGCTGATGAATGACTTTGTGTCCATGATATACAGAAGTGTATTGTGAACTCTAGTTTATCAGTAGAAGAGAAACAAACTTCCACGTTATAGGCTCTTGCTGCTTAAGACAGTAAATAATACAGATCCCAAGACACACTGCAGCAGCCATGCAGATTTAGTTGGATTGTCCCAGTATTATCTCATTTGAGGTTGTTATCCCTTGACAGATATTTCACTGAATGATCCCAGTGGTCCTAGGATAGATTTGTCACTTTTGCTCATTTGCTATTATCAAATGTTATGTCCCAACTGAAAGAATGTCAAATGTTGTGAAAAAAAATCAGACCACAACATGCACTCCTCATCTTACAGTCTTAAAACACATCTTTTGCAAACTAGTTCAAAAGCGCCATGAGAGCCTCTTTAGCACTTTTCAAGAAAATTGATCTAAACATTTGACAGAGGCCAAAAATACATGAATGCAACTATGTTGACAGCAACAAACTAGTTTCCTGAGTTCAATTGTTTGTGGTTTGAAAAATGTATTGTAAAATGGACTTAGAGTCTCTTGATTAGAATATTTAAAACTGGGTTGGGCTTGTTTAATAACAAACTGCTAACATGTACCACAGTGGGGCAGCAGTGGCTCAAGTGAAATCTGTTGTTGTGTCTATTGGCAAGACACATTACCCTCCTCTAAGTGTGAGTGTGTGTGTGAGTGTGTGTGTGTGTGTGTGTGTGTGTGTGTGTGTGTGTGTGTGTGTGTGTGTGTGTGTGTGTGCGTGCAGCATTATTGGCAGGACAGTTGTGATTAGAGTGCAGATGCAATAGCTTTTAATATCGCAATGTGTCTTTGTATGTCCATAAGGGCTAATTTTGAGAAAACACATTTATTATTACACCTAACAAATTATTTCAGTTGGATGTTGAAGGAACTGATCACATGGATTTATATACAAAATGCCTTTGTGGACAAAATTGTGAAATCCCTTTGATTCTCTAACCACTGGACTGTCCAAACGTTCACTTACCACAAATGCCAGATCTGTCGGTGGCAGCGTGGAATTGGAGCCGTCCTCAGGGGGGCCACACGACGTGTTCAAAAGTGTCCCATCTGTCACTTGAAAAGACTCTGTCCGAACAGCACAATGGACACAGGGTCATAAACAAATGGTACACAAAGATACGGACAAGACTTGTTTAGCGGAGGTTGTTTTCGGAGGCCATCCCTGCTGAGAGGGACATGAGGGTGATGGGATTTTCACATGGCCTGGGTCAAGCTGTCCTGCTCTCTCTGTAGGCCAACACTTACACAGCAGGAGCACTGTTTGCCGTTCATAATGCCATTTACTTCATAATCTCCACAGTTGATCCCCTATGTGAGATACATAAAAGGACTCCCTTATTGTTAAGTGAAGGATGGCTGATTGTTTCCATCTGAAAATCCCCTTTTAACTTCTCCCTTTCTTCTATTTACGATGGCTATTAATCAAAGGCGCTGTTTTGTTATATTGATTCGATCGTTTTATATGGGGAAATGATACGGGCCAATAATAAAAAACAGGGGTGTTTTTGCTTCTTGAGGAAAACTCGCACGTACCTTTGCAGAAAATGAAACCATCATTTTGTCATGGTGTATGTTGAGCGTCTGTCCTGAAAGTAACCTGAGCCCGGAGCGAACAATTGTAGGCACCGTTGGTTAGGATTATTTATGAGGATAAGGACTTTAATTTAGTTTTGTGTGGAGGAATGGGAGTAATTTAGTAACTAGGCACCCATTGAAGCGGAGTGCCCCTTCCTTCCCCCGGAGAGCCTTCACATTCATGATTTCCCTGATCCTCTTGAGTTTCAAACAACAATAGCGTTTTCATTTTGTAGTAAAGTTCCTCTTGTTGACGCCGTTTACCAGCACAAGACATGGGGAAACAAGTGAACATACTATTTTAAACAGACGATTTTATTATTGGCTCGGCTTGAAAAGACATAACCACATCAATGTTGCAGAATAATCTTAAATTTTAGGTATAACAAAAGAGAATTTCCATTTCTATCCCCTATTCATGCTGCTTAATACACAACCATTCCTCCAGCTTGTGACCAACCTAAATAAAACTCTCTGAATTCAAATTAATGTGATATAAAATGGCAAATAAATGAGAACAATTGTGTATTAATTCACTTAACTCATTGATACAAGGAATGGAGATAACTTAATTCTAAAACTGTGATAAATTTTATTTTTTATTACCAATACAATGTGACTTGAATAACCACAATCATCAGACAGCAGAACAATATCGACATCCCATAAGCATAAGATAGTGTCGTAATTCTATTGAAAATATACTGGGGGAATACTTTTGGCTCTGGCTAAAACCGCAAGCTATGGTTTAGAGCAAAGATATCTGCATGATCCAGACAAAGACAGTAGTGTGACTTTCTGAAAACATCAATCATTCTCATATAGAACTGTTTTTTTTTTGTATCTGTTTTATGATCCCATATTGAACAAAAAATGGATTGTGTTCCAGAGACAATGTCATGTAATTGTATCTTCAGAAAGCTGCATGCACTGTAAAAATCATTCATCAAAAAGTGGTTTCTCTTAAAACTGTGTTACATTATGACTGATTTCATTCTGATGAACTGGGCCGTTTCACTCACCGCTCCTGGCGTTGGTTCAGAGGGTAAAAGCGCGGGCAAAGGAGCGGGCCGATCGTGTGGAGATGTTAACGTAAGAAATGGCAAGTCTCTGGGCACAAACTTGGGCCTCACTCCCACTCATGCTGGCTGGAACCCGTTCACAGTTGACTGCCATGTAAAAACGTCTCCAGAACCAGGATCAAACGAGAAATCTGCGCAAATAATAAGAAACACATAGAAGAAGAGAGCGTGATGTTTGGATGTTAAAGGCACAGAGGACACAGTTTGGCAACCCCCACTGCTTTTGCGGAGTCTCTGGTTTTGGGGCCAGCGGCTTGTTGTGGTCTGTGAATGTGTCTGCTCCAGAGACTTTGGACAACACCTGATCCTCACGTCCCAGAGGAGCGGGCCTTGTGTTTCTGAGCAAGTGCCGAGGTCAAGGCCTGGACACATCCTCTCTCATCTTTGTCATGTAGACTATACGGTCAGGGCACTGGGGAAAGCTTCACTTGGCTTTACCGCAGCCCCACAGCTCAGAATAAAGTGAAGAAAACAACTCTACTATGTGTTTTGTTTTATTGAAGTAAAGCCTGCACATATTTTTCATGTTTGCACTTGTTTACAGACGTGGAGAGTAACTAAGTTTGTAAGTAAGTAAACTTTTTCCTCAATCAATCTCAATCTCAAATAGTTGTACTTTATACTCCTTAAGGTGTAATACAGAAGTTCTGAACTGATAGGTCAGGGAGGGATGGGTCAAAAGGGAGTCAGTTTAGAGGGTTGCAAGGCTTTCCAGGGCGCAACAGTTTTTAAAATATGTATTACTGCTTTGCAAAAAAATGTAATCTAGAAAGTAGTAAGTGGAAGTAATATGAAAAAATGTGCCTATAATTGGTCTCTCTCTCTCTCTCTCTCTATATATATATATATATATATATAGAGAGAGAGAGAGAGACCAATTATAGAAGGTGGAAAAAGAATTTACATCCACTGAAAATTACTATAAAAACTAACTTCCTTTTACTTTACTTTATTTGCTTAAATGCTAAATGCATTATTTGGGTTGCGTGAGTCCTGAGTGACAGCATTCCGGTTGTGAACCACTGGTGTTATGTGTTAGTTACTTAACTTTAATCAGATTTAAAGGTGTTGACGTGACGCAAAAACATTGTGGACCTCAAAGTGAATTAAATAATTGCGGTTAGCCAGGCTTCTAATTCTAGCTCAGTAGGTCAACAGCTGCATTCTGCTTCAACTTTTACGTAAGTATTAAAGTCAAGTACTTTTTTCTGTTTGTTTAAACCTACTACAAGATAAAGGAATATTGAGAAATTAGAAAATATATTAAAAAAAGTTTCCAAGTTTGTCATATGTGGTTTGAGTGAAGTGTTTCAGAAGTTGTTGTTTAAAAAGCCTAGTCCAGACCATTTATATACTTTATACTCTTTAATCCAAGGATGAACTATGAGGTCTTTACTATTTGACACCAATCAACTTTTTATTAAAGTTCCAATTTGGAGGTTTAAAGCTCTGAATGCTCGATGAAGGAAAGTGGAATTTAGCAACAATGGAAACTTCAGCAAACATTAACATACAGTGTAGAGAAAGCACTCAGAAAAAAACATTGTATTAACTTGTAGAGCTGGTTTTCACTACATTTCAAAAATCACGCGGTGCACAGTTGTCAATGGCCTCTTTTTATCTACTCTGAGAATGACGTAATAAGGGGGAAAAAAACAAAAAAAACACTTAACACACGGGAGGTTGCCTGGTAAACGACTAGTTTTGTTTTTTTTGCTTTTTCCTGGGAGCGTTTGGAGCCGCGCGTCTTTCTTATGCAAATAGCAGTGACATCAGCAGTGAGATCAAAGCGGCACAGGACTACTTGAGCGCTCTCTCAGCCCTCCACCCTCCACTCTCCTCAGTCCGCTCCTGTGTTCCCCTCTTGGCTGCAGTCCCCTCTCACCATGCGTACCTGGCCGGACATATGCCACTCACGCCCGCGGGATTTTACCCACGCGTCCAGTTGATATAAACTCCCTGAAAGGATATTTTTGTTATATACTTTGGATTGTTTTCGGGTTTTTCTCCCCCCACACAGCGAGACTCCGCAAAGGTAAGAGAATACTTTTTTTTTTTAAATTTAGTTTATGTGGGATGCGTTTGGCAACAGGGGGATTTTATCTTCATTATTTATAATGTAGTGTGATTATTTATGATTTGTCTTGGATCTTGTTTTGTTAGGCTTTTTGAGTTGCCTTGTTTATGAACTGTGCTATACAATTAAACTTTCCTAGCCTTGCCTTACCTTTGCGAATTCTTAATATTCATGCATTACATTCTGACAAACTTTGTAACATAGCTCCTCTGTCTTTATGTATTTATTGACAGTCCTGACAGAATGCGTGTCCATGTCAATATATCACCTTTGCCAGGATGTTTGCATTGCTGGCTTTACTAGCGCGCGAGTATCAATCTTGTTTTATTTATTTATATATTTTGTAAATGGGAAACAGTTCAAGATTTCAAGGAAAATCACTTCGCTTTTTTTTCATCGGCTTTGCAATTTATATATTTTTTGTTTATTGGAAGTGTGTCCCTCCTCACCTGTTTGCAGTTTCAGTGCGATGGGTTTCAGTTCATTATAATAATTCATGCACGCGCTCCAGTCACTACTACTACTACTTTTACGCACGTGTTACGTTTTGTTCAAACCAATCCACTTTAATTACATAGCACTTTTTATAAAACAAGTTTCCAAAGTGCTGCACAGAAATAAAACCAACACATTTAAATATGCAGGTTTGCCAGCCTTATGTTTAAAAAAAAAAAATAGAAGTGATGGCGTATCTCCACAATTACAGCTATAATCTTAATGAGGCTCAGATCATAAAACTAATTAACTGGTGAGTGACAGTTACTCTGGATACAGGAGCATTCATTTATTTCTTTAAAGCTGGAATTAAAGAGTCTTTCAACTTATTGTGTAAAAAAAATAAAAATATATATAATAGCCATTTAATCACATTCCACTGTCCTGGTTGTGTTTCTAAGCATTGTCTAAATAATGAATCTCATAAAATAATAGAAACTGATGGTTATTTGAGCGTCTTGTGTTTTTCCCGTGTGTTCCAGAGCCACCTGTAGAATGAAGAGTGACTTGTAACACTAAAGCTCAAAGGAATCCACTTGTGTGTCTGTTGTGTGACTCCAGTGTGACCTGTGTGTGACGCTCAGAGCCCTCACCATGCGGAGCTGCTCCCCTGCCCTGCGGTTTGGGGTGTTTACTGCCCTGCTGCTGTCTCAGGTGTGCTCTGGCATCAAGTGGCTGTAAGTATTGTCCTCTCTGCATTTAAAATTCCGGTTTTTAGACCTGATGTCATTCAGATAAACCATACTGTGTGAGGGTTAGAGATGTGTTTGTGTGTGTGTGTGGGTGTGTGTGTGTGTTCGTGGCAGCTTTGAATAGGGCCCCAGCATTCCTCTGATTGATTAAGGAGAGATTGTGTTGTCTGTGAATAAATGTTAGTAACATCTGCTTTAGATAAAAAAGACATGGTGCATATATTATCATGTCCTCTGTGGAGCCTTATCAAAATAAGAGTTAGATGTAAATACGACCCACACCTGCAGAAGTGTCTAGTGTAATGTGCGTTAAAATGGAGAATAGGACAGCACATAATTGTTGAACTATTTGTTATACATACAGTCTCTACATTTGACGTAACCCGTAGATTGTACATTTTCGTGTAAAATCATTTTCAGTTGTTACTGCATACTGGGGATGGTGTGTATCGCTTTGGAAAATGTGAGAACTCTGTAGTTGTCTGCATTTTTGTATTCTCCACTGGTCCAAACACAAGTATAAGTCATGCAGAGGGAGCAGAGATGGCATGTGTGAGCTCCTACAGTGTCGATAACGCTCAACAGTGCAATGTATAACAGATGCGGCTGTAAACACCTGTGAGAGCTGGTTTACAGAGAGCACAGTGGAGTCACAGCTTATCATTGGGCACAGAGTGGTGGCCCCATGGCCCTAATGCAAAACAGGCTGAGAAACCAGAGGCCAGGCCTTCTCACGAACGCACAACTCACAAACGTACAACAAACCCATGTTCTCAATCAATTCATCATTAAAGGAGAAAGGGACGTGATCTAAAACTAGGGCATTTCACATTAGAATAATGTAATTTGTTACATGTATCAATGTTCTTTGTTTTGGCAAAGAAGAGAGAATCCTTCTCAGTGATTTAACTCAAGAAAAGTATTTTGCCAAAAAGGTGTCTATTTTACTTTATGAATCTACGGCTGACTTTCCTTTGGGATTTTTCTCTGATAAGACGTTTGTGGTTTAAAAAATATGCACGACCCAAAGCACTTTTTGTGACTGTAAGTTTGACCTTTCTCCACAAGACTAGACTTTAAATAAAATGTACTATTCTATGCAGGATTCCTTTGAATAAAGTACTATAATTATAGGCAGAGCAGTACTAATTATGTACTCCTATTGATTTCTTTGCAGTGCGATCTCGCACGCTCCAACATCTTTACATATCAACCAGACACAGCATTGTAAAGTGCTGCCTGGCCTGGTGTCTTCTCAAGCCCAGCTGTGCCGCAGTAACTTGGAGCTCATGCAGACGATCGTCCAAGCGGCCCGCGAGGTCAAGAAAACCTGTCAAAAGACGTTTGCTGATATGCGGTGGAACTGCTCATCTATAGATATCCCTGCAGACGCATCCAAGTACCGGCCAGACCTGGACAGAGGTACAGTGAGAGACTAGGCTGCAACTTATAAGAGGTTATGTTCAATTCAATATTGGACTTTATATAAATATTCAAATACAACACCATTAGGCTCATCACCCTTCACAGTTGACTTCAAAGAAATAACAGGCCGTCTTTTAAGGACACTTTCATTCAACTTCATAGCTCCTTTTGTATATGCAATCTTGGCAGCGGCTTGCGAACAAATCCATTCCTTTTTATAGCATATTTGGTCAATGTTATGTTGGCGAGTGAAAATATTCCAGCTGTTTAAACTGTCCGGCCTCATGGGCCTATTGGACAGCCACCCAGAAGTGTAAGCTTCTACAGCTAATCATGGCGTTCTTTTTAACCAGAGGACCCGTGCACAACCTGGCTGCACATCTGTTATGTGGCTCTTCAGTTTGACTCAGATGTTTCTTTGTCCAAAAGACCTTGAAACAAGTCGGCGTTCTGGGTAGAGCCATTTACCAAATGAACAGTCTGCTCCGAGCAGGAAATGGCTCATCTCTGTGTAGGAATGGCTTTGATCTCACAAGCTCATGGTCAGGCATGATTTGGTCTTTATGCTCTAGTCTCTAACATATGTGCGTTCTGTGTATGAACATCACTTCTAATTACATCACAAGTCAGCCCACATTACGGCATGGCCCACAATGCACCTTCTTCATAGATACATTTTTAGTCAAAGTTCTTACGTAAGTCATTACATAAGCTATAGGTAAAAATAAAGGGTCTTTCTAGTGCTAGTTAATTTAAGATTAACATTATTATTCTGTCCAGGAACGAGAGAGGCTGCCTTTGTGTACGCCTTGTCTGCAGCTACAATAAGTCACACCATTGCACGAGCATGTACATCAGGTGACCTTCGCCTGTGCTCGTGTGGGCCAATACCAGCGGAGATCCCAGAGCCGGGCTATCGCTGGGGCGGCTGTGCGGACAACTTGCACTATGGTCTGGTCATGGGGTCCAAATTCTCTGATGCTCCCATGAAAATGAAGAGGCCAGGCTCCCATGCCAACAAGCTTATGCATCTGCACAATAGTGAAGTTGGAAGAAAGGTAAATAGGATGTCCGTCACCTGCTTGCATATCTGTGGAATGATGTCTCATAAACCTAAATCCTTGTTTGTTATTTTGAAGGCCTTGAAAGATGCGCTGGTGATGAAGTGCAAATGCCACGGTGTGTCAGGCTCATGCTCCATAAGAACCTGCTGGAGAGGCTTGCAGGACCTGAGAGAGATCGCTATGGACCTAAAGACCAAGTACTTGTCTGCCACCAAAGTAGTGCCCAGGCCAGTGGGGACACGCAAGCAGCTCGTGCCCAAAGACATCGACATCCGGCCAGTGAGGGAGAACGAGCTGGTATATCTGCAAAGCTCTCCAGACTTCTGTACCAAGAATGACAAACAAGGATCTGTGGGCACTCAGGACAGGTAAGAGCCTTAAATAACACACAGAAGTAAAATTGTAATGGAATAGTTTCTGATGTCAAACAGCGGATGTTGATGTCAGAACGTGGCTTGATAACGGCTCGCGGTCCATGTGAGAGCGGCGTCTCTGGCTTGTCTGAGCATGTGTCCCTGAAAAGGCCCCATACTCAAGTCCTTGTCCCACTATCTGAAAACAGTGACTAATGGAGCTATACTTAGGCTAAAGTGCACTTGAGCAGATATTGATTGTAGGGGGCATACATATGGGGAAAATTGTAAATGGATGCATGCATGTTGTGCTGGTTTAGGTGTGCCGGGGTAAATGCTAGTGTGTGGAATGTGCTGGGGTGTCTATTTGTTTCGGGGTGTGACTCAAACAAATAATCAATAGCATTCATCAATACAAAACTTGTAACTTACAAGTTCTCCTCTTCCACAAACCAGTTTACTATGTTTATTTCCCAGAAGAGACAATTGATATTTAGTTAGTTAGTGCATGTATGTAAGTAAGTGAGTTTGTATGACTAGATAGACCGCAAAAGGAGCCTTTCTGAGTGGTGTTTTCCCTTTCGTTGCTCTGTTTTCTCCTACCTCCAAAATATGCTCTTCAGGACTCACCATCGACCTGATGGTTGTACACAGAAGTTGCAATAGTATATTATCCACATGCATGTTCTGATAATATGCTTGTGTAATACTGGAACCAATCAAAGTTCTGCTATTTGTCATAAAAAGTGGTTTGATATGCCAATACTAAAGTTTGAAGATGTTAATGGTCTGCTTATGTCCAGTCATGGTTTAAAATCACACCATGTGCAGTTAGTTTTAAACATGCTGCAAAATCTGCTTTTTTTTTTAAATAATAAAAATAGTCATGAACTATTGCAATTTTATACTGATGTCCCTTAGTTGCAGCCTCTGCTTTATTAGCCTATAAACCCAAATTGAACTTGGTTTCCTCAGTCTCTGAATCAAATCTGATTACATCAGAGATTCTGGGACAGTGATTTTGCAGCTGTGTGTAATGCGCAAAGTGTGACTGGTTTGGGGAAGCAAGAGGGGCATTATTGAGGAGTGTGCTTTACACTTTAATAACATTACCCTGCAGATGTGGAAAGCAGAATACTACTTTTCCCCTTGCTGCTTTTACAGCAGTAATATAAGAGAATCTTGTTCCTGACATAACACAACTATGTGGGCTTTCTGTGTAAGTCCCAGCTCCCACCGATGTAATAAACCTGTCTTACACTCTAAATGAGTCCTGTCCTTCCCCCTGCTTCACTCCCACTTTGGCCATCAGCTCAATGTCTTTCTCACCATACCACTCTTTAACACTTTGCCGTCATAAAACAATGCAATTATGTGCTTCGGGCAAACTAAAGAGGCCAGCCCGACGTATTCAGGCTGATTTACAGCAAGGCCATTCTCCTCCATTCAGCATGGCTAAAGGCTCCCACATCCACTGCTCAAGACAGACACAGAAAATGTTTGGAAAAAAGACAACACAAAAGAGCTAGGTTAACAGGTCAGGCACTATTAAGACTATTGTGGCCACTTCAGGGACGTGAGATTGTACACACAAACTAAATGTTATAGAATGAGGCCATAAACCTAATTGCTTTGGGAGCCTAAATATAGAGTATTTAAGCCTCACAGCTGCCACTGTTGAGATAGTCTGTGTGCAGGAGTAAGCATACTGTTTATATTTTTACTTTGAGAATTTGAGGTAAAACATAACGTTTGCTCTTCTTGTTCATGTTTATTTAGGCAGTGCAACAAGACGTCTGTGGGGAGTGACAGTTGTGATCTGATGTGCTGTGGCCGTGGCTACAACCCGTACACAGAGAAGCTGGTGGAGCGCTGCCACTGCAAGTACCACTGGTGTTGCTACGTTACCTGTAAGAAGTGTGAGCGCATTGTGGAGCGATACGTGTGCAAATGAGTGGAGCAGCAAACACAGAGTAACCAAAGCACTAAACCAAAAGGCTTTCGCATGTGTACCCAGACTGTCTCTCATCCTTTTTGTATTGGTCTCCAAACTCTGCATTGGTCTGAAACAAGCACTTCACGAGCTGAGACATTTGAGTGTTGCCCAGCGCGAGGCAGAAGACCACCGTCCTTTTGGGTTGTTTTTATTCTTTCTTCAAACAATAAGTCCCCTAAAGGGACAAGCAAAGTCTATTTTATCCTATCCTTAATAGATATTTGTTATTGGATTTTATGCTGGAGAGACTGATAAGCATCATTCCATGGAAAAGGATTCAGATGGAACTACACTACATACTTTTTCCAAGAACTGAGCACGTTTCCTTGTCCAAGAGAATGGACAGTAGAGGACAAGGAGAATACAAAGGGAATTAATTTTTTTTTAATCACAACTTTTTGTGGTTAGTATTTTGGAGAGTCAAATGTATTTGGGGCCATACCCACACTCCTGTGGACTAGGTGAAAGATATAAAGACTTTGTGCTGCATTTTATCTGGTGTCTGAATTCAGGCAATTCAAAATATATTATATTTTTAGAGCATTTGAACTCATGGATTTTGTAAACCACTTCTGTGTGGATGTACATACTGTTATTTTGTATACTGAAATAAAGAAAGAAGTATTTATAAAATAAATCTTAAATATCATCTTTATATGTTTTTGTCTTTACTTAATCAACAAAAATCCTCAAAATATTATAGCAACTGGTATAATTTGTTTGACAAAATACCATGATCCGTTTCAAAGTTTATTACATTTTTTCAAATACTTTAACAGTTAAAAAAATATCTGACAATGAAAAGAACAAATACAATACAGCCATCCAACAACTGCAGCTGATTGTCATGATTTAGCGGTGACAGAAATAGCAGTGAGGATGTCAGCTCTCACTGCGAGCTCACATGACACTTCGCAGCACCAGCTCGCTCCATTCCACTTGACCTGTGCCTGTGTGCACACTCCGAGTGCCAAAACAAGGGTTCACAACATACCCCACAATCACAAGACACCGGTGAGAACTTTACGTCTGAACCTTCTCTCAACTTCCTCGCAAGGACTAAACTATTTTATGTGTGTGTAATTTATGTAATGAAGGCGTAACAAAGAAATTAGACTTAACACTGGGATACCTCACTTTTTCCCTTCATAAAAAATGCAAAAAAGTTCCAACAGAAAGAGTCCTGTAAAGACAGACCACAACATGCTGTTTTTATCCCATTAGAAACATGTTATTTTTTGCATACGTAAGTGAGAGCCCTGTGAGTCACAATTTGACGCTTTTGGCTGAGATTTGATTGTAATCCGGTCTTTTTACTTTTTCTGCCTGAAAAACATGTAACAAAAACATCCACATGCGAAACCCAACTTTTGAGAGCGAGAAACTAGTTACAAGGATTTTCATTACACAGTTAATTCCTGGGTACTCAAGCTTTAAAAACAGGAAAACTGATTCCTCGGCCCTGTTATATAAAGCTATATAGTCTGTGGACATGGCAGGGCAGCTGACTATTGACAGACTAACACCATTCTGTAGTGGGAATAGTGCAGGTGAGTGGGGGTCCATTCTTGTGTTGGCAGCAGTGGGAAAGAATAGCAACAATCCTTCAACACTGTCTCATGTCCTGGCACCAACGTGAAGACAGTGCCGTTGATAGAGGACACACACATGCGCTTCTGGAACTAGAATAGAGGGGGCTAAACGGTGGAAGACAGGAAGACTGTTTGAACCCCTGACCTCCTCAAAGATAGTGCTACAGTCTGTGACATGTCTTCAAACTCTCCTTATCTCTTTTTGTTTTCCTGAAAAAAAATCCAGTAAGCAAATATTTATGTTTCATTGAAAAACACCCTCAGCGCGATATTGGTCACACATCAATACGGCGTAGGACTACCACGGCCTGTGAAGTAAGCAGTGTTTTTAGCCTAATTTCGTCACACCTGAAAAGATTAGATTAGAGTTAAATCTACCCAGCTGGTTTCTGAAACGTTATACCTTGTCAACGGAGCTTTAAAGCAACCACTGTTATCAATTCACCGTGCAAGTATTCCAATGACCCAGGAGTGACCCTTCAGGAATTGCCCTACATGGAATTGTACAATCATAAATCATGCTGTTGTACAATTAAACACAGAAAATGAACTTGTCTGCGTTCTCGTATTACGCCTATGAATACGATGGAGTCGTGGGGGAAGCTTGGAATTTGAGAGTAAAAGGACAAGAATAGGCTGGGATTGAGAAAAGAACAGTTCAAGTTAATTGTTTTCTGATGAGACAAAACAAAAAGACAAGAAAAGGAGCTAATCACCATTGCAGATTTTATTGCGCTATAGTTAGTTTTACCCTCAGCTCTGTGGGAATTGTCGTATAATAAGAAGGGACAGAAGCGTTTAATAGACAGCAGTCCAAATATCGGATGTTAATGTCACCCCGCTCAATATAATACCGTTTGCTTTTGTGTGGCTGGGGCTGCAGATAACTAGCGGTGAATGAGGGAGACAAAGAATTTGGCTGCAGTCGTAAAGCCTTTGAAAAGTACTGACCCGTACTGTAAATGGACTTTTGTGCACCCCTCCCCCGCGCCCAGCCTCAAGCTTTCAAAAGTTTGGCCCAGGACTATGTGCTGTTCAAGGCCATTTTTGTTTTGATGAGTGTGTGTCTGTTCTTTCAGAGACAGCTGAGTAATAGGGAATCATCTGTTTGAGTAAACTATAGTGACTGGACATTTTAATTGGACTTTAATGCTAAAAAAATATATATAAAAAAAAGTCACTAAACAAGGATGGAGTTAGCCTCATAAAATAATTGCCTACGTCATATTTCAATGTTTTATTTCAAACAAAAGCAAAACAAAACAGCACGTTTTTATTTTTTATTTATATCACAAAAAAGCAAATTTACTTTAGTATTAATTCATTTTTTTTTTGCTTAATACTAAACATAATGCAAACTCAATTGTCTGTGACTATAATTCATTTGAAAGACACATTTGGACAAAAATATATGAAACTTCCATCTTCCATCTTTTTTTTAAGGCAGTACATCTGGTCTGTCCAATTAAACTTCTGTGTACAACGCATAAGTCAAACGCTTCAAATTTTATTTTTACGAATTTAGTTTGTAATAAAGAGTTTATTCGATCTAAACTCTTCTAAAATGTTACAATTATTGTGTATCGCTGTTGCCGCCTGTAAATCATGACAAAGAAATATCTCGCTTGATTAGTTGTTTGTCTATACAAGTCGAAACGCTTAGGAGGTCATCAATTCCAGCTAAACGCCAAACAGTTTAGGATAGCATGATTTGGTTCACTTTCAGATGACACGCTGGAAATGCCGCGCCAGAGAAATGCAACAGCCCCAGTCTCAACACGGGCTTCCTCCAGACCACCATCGCACTGCATGAACTATCAGCACCGGGACAAATCAATGCAAATCAAAGAGAAGCACTCTGGGAAAAGTAAACAGAGCCACCAAGGAGTCAACCACATGCCTCGCTAACTACCATAACCAACAGAGCTTTTAAAGAGGCGATAGTGCAGCCGCTTTCACGCCAACTTCAATAAAACACCACCATATTTACCCAGGGCCTGGTCTCGTAGTATGATGCAAATTAGACCAGTCTTCCATGGAGAAAACTCTGGCTTTATAGGATTTACATAATGGGAGAGGTGGAAGAATCACTCAAAGTTACTACTAATGATATTGAATTTATTCTGGGAGTTTGTCCAGTCCAAAAACGTAATATATGTGCAATGTTTTTCTTTTGTCTTTCATAAGTGTGTTGTGATTGAGATAGTAGATGTTACTTACTGGTATAAAATTAAATATTTGACTGTAAATAAATAGCATAACCAAAAACGTAAATGCAGAGAAAATGGAATAGAAAGAAAAAAAGAAAAAATTTAAATGCGGCTACAAATTCAAGTGCTTTCCAGGATGCATGGTTTTAAACTGTAAATGGAAAATTAACAAGTAGAAGTTTTTGTATTTCTAAAGGTAAGTACAAAAGATAAAAAATAATAAACATGATACAAAATAAACTGTACTACACAATACATTTACATGCATACATTTGAAAAAGGTCAAAGGTCGAAAATCAGCCTCACACAGACGGGATCTTAACGCACCAGAGCAACCTGGAAGTTTAGTCCGTTTTTTTTCAGACAGAACCAAGTTAGGATGCATCATATAGTCAATGTTACGTCACACATCAAAGACATACGTGTCACATCAAGAGACAATCAAAAGAACATAGCACGGACACACAATCGTAGCAGATACACAATCAGCGTCGTTGTGACCTACACAAGGCCAGATCTCTTCTATAGCTATATATATATATATATATATATATATATATATATATATATATATATATATATATATATATATATATATATATATATATATATATATATATATATATATATATTCCCATATAGATGAAATTTAATCTAAATCACGTTTTCTACAGCTCGATCTCACTTTTGTATAGCGGCTAGCCAATCCAATCCAATCCACTTTTTATATACAGCACATTTCATAAATACAGTTTCCAATGTGCTGCACAATATAAGACTAAATAAAGCAAATCCATGGAAAAACAGTAAAATCATTAAAAATCAAATAAGATAACGACTTATCTTACAGCCATAGTCAATAGCCAGCGACTTCTCAAACAAAATTACAACTAATACAAACACTTCTGGTTCATGCATTACTGAAGCTAATATTACAAAGTCAAAACTGGAATGCATTACCTCATACAATCATATAAATATAAATTAACCCAAAGTTGCCAAATTCTTCTACAAGTGAGACAAAGAATACAACATAGTACCCCAAATAACTTCCACAAAGAAACCTTCCATCTTTCTCTTGTCGTAACCTGGGGCCTTTCCTAAAATGACTTGAAGTATTTGAGTGTGTGGGAGAACAAATGATGGAACACATTCC